TAAACCAAAATCCCAAATCCAAGTACTCCTTAGAAACAATCAAAGGTGCCCCTTTACCTCCACCAATGTGAGTGCATAGAATATAAAAAAGGAATATAGAAAATATGCATATTAATTAGCCCAAAAACCATAGTTTATATACAGGAGCAAATGGTCTAGATTGAAACCAATTCGATGACTACCAAAATTCCACTATGTTAATATTAATATATGGCATCATACCTGTACACTTGGACCTCACAATCTAGTACCTAGACCCAAGTAAAACTAAGAAAAGAAATACAAAAAAAATTGTTATTAATATAAACTATAAATTCAAAACCTGATATTTTATATTTGTAAGATTTATAAAGGTGTTCAATTTGTTTGAATTAAGACTAAAGTAATCCACACCTTGAGCATTGTTTGGCTTAGAGATAGGTAATCTATATGGAATTGTTGTAATTGCCCAATCAATACATTAGTATAGCTTATCAATTGGTGAGGGGTGACTCTATCTATCAACTAAACATATATATAAAGAAGAAAATTGTAAGACAGACTAAGTGCCATCTTAATTATATTAACTATATGAGGCAAGTTTAAGTCAAAATGAATTTTAATCATAGTATCCAAGTTATGAAACAATATTCTTGGCCTAATGGTTTCACCACCTAAGCAACATCTCTTGTACAATCACCAGTAGACTCAACAGCTATGCCCTATGGAAACCCCAAGAGTTGTTCTCGTGCCCCCACAATCCCTCGCGAGAGTTTTCGAGGAGCCAAAAAAAATTGATAAGCAATGCAGGAGGGCCATAAATATAATAGGCAACATTTCTTGTCACCTGCTGTCCATGGCTTATGCCCCAGCACCCAGTCTCCGCCCACAAATTCAAATGGTAAATGCTCACCACAGAACTAAATGCCAATAATAGACTGAATCAATCAATTTTCTATGGCACTCCACTATTGGATAGTTATGGGACTCCAGTTGGCACTCCATTGCTTTAGAGTGCTGGCCATAGCACTCCACTAGCCCTAGGGAAAGAAGTGAGAACTTTTGCAAAAAGGATGGAAGAGAGCATACACATAAGTTAAGCACAACAAACTCAACATGCCCATCCACAAACCCTAGAGCTCCTAGGCCTCCATCTTTGGTGTTGGGTGGCTGTTGACCACTTGTTGGTCGCCTCCTCTCCTACTTCTCCACAAGCCCTGGAGCTCGTGGCCATCCATCTCTGCCACTGTGTAGTGCCTTGTCTTTTGCTTCCCCTAGAAACTTTGTGGCTGGGATGAGCTATGGTAAAAGGAGAGTTTTTTATGCCTCCTAGGCCATGCAAATAGACAGATGTTGCTCACACCTCCTCCCTTGGCCCAGGCCATGCCACGTGCCCACTAGCCAGCCCAAAACCTCGCAAAAATATTTCAAAAGGAAGTGTGGTAAGAAACTAATATTTATTAGGTTACCCCACATTTTATGGCACCAACGGTGGCCCACAAAGTTTGGCAATTGCTCCTTATAGTAGTAGATAGTCTAACACCACACTGTACTATTATGATTATTTTTTTTTTCTCTATTTTAAATGTTTTGTGGTCAAAAGAGAACATGTCTTTGCAAGATGAACTCACAGATTACTTTTGATATGTTCTAAAAGGTGATGGCTCTAAACTCAATGTCTATGTTGAGCAGAAGAAACCTACTCAAGTCCTCTTCCATCACCTCCCTTCAATTTTTTCCTGCCACTTTTTAGTGAGTCATTGAGAAAAACTTCATGTGTACCTTCTTGCTAGAGACATGGGAAGTTTCAAAAGGCTATAAGGCACCATAGCATAACATGGTGCTCACCATCATCCATCTCTTCAAAAGCACAATGGATACACTGAGGCTCTATGTGTGAATTTATATGAATTGCTAAAATCTTCAAGTATATTAACATTGACCATAGAAGCACACTCTGTTAGAAGTGAGAGACATACTCTTTGCACCAGAAATTTATTTTTACTACTTATATGGCTAATTAGGGGTGCAAGTTAGCAGATTTTTGTGAGCATTTGGTGAGCATCCAAGGCAAGCAGTAAGTTTTCAGGTGGACTAATCTAATTAGCAAGCTTGATCACTAGTGTTTTGGAATTTTTGATGATAAGAAGAGTCTAGGCTAGAGTGTTGGGGTTGGCACCTGCTAAAGCTAGACATTCCATTTCTCAACCATTGGCAGATATAATGGTATATGTGCATCATTTCTAGAAAAGAATTCATCATCTGTTAGATATAACTCCAGTAATATTTTTCTTTTTCTTTACTCCTTAACCTTAAATAATGTTTAAAGAGGAAATCTTAACCAAATTTAAGCTTAAGATTTCTAATACACTTTTGGTTGGTGTTTAAGACTGCTATGCCAAAGGCTTTTATATCAAACAAGAAGATGAGTAAAGTTTTTACAAGACCTCTTATAAACCTGAAGAATTTGATATTTCTACGAAGAGGATCTTGAATGACAAAATTTAACACTGATTAGCTATCTCAAGATGTTCTTCACATCAGCCTTGGTTATTTGAGGGCAATATAAAAGTTTGATGATATATATCATAATTTGGAAAAGATACTGTAGAACATTGGAAGTAGAACATCACTAGTTGAAACTGGTTAAAGAAATCTAGAAGTTGCAAAACCTCTCATTTCCACAGTTTATAAGCATACAATGACTAGAAACAAATTTGGTTGAGAGTGTTGTCACTCTTATGCTAGAACACCTGAAACCTCCCTCAACATTAAGTAGATGTCATAGATTATGCTCCATCTCTAATATGGTAGATTTAGAATCTGTTAGAACTTTTTATTTCTCTCATTCAGGCATTTACTTTCAATTTAATTATGTCCTAGTCAAGACTTGCAAACCTGTATAAGAGGAGCCAGCTTTTGATTAAATACAAATTCTTGCTTTCTAGAGTTTACAGCCATAGCTTTTAAGTGAACAATATGTTTACTTAAAGTTAATATTAAAATGCTTACTCTTGATGCTAAAGTGCTTGAAAAGTTGATAGCCCAAAATATTTGTACTTCTCTCTGTGGAGCTGGGATCCCAACTAGTTCTAGATATAATTTTTAGTTTCTTTTCCTTTTATATTATTTTTATACTATTTAAATAAAACGAAAAATGCAGAACAGATGTAGATTTAAGAGTAAAACTTAAAGCATTACATCTCAGCATGATATTACTTTTGAAGTGTTTCAAAATTGTACATAAACTTGATGGGTGGTGGCTATATTAGTTTTGAAAACTTCTTGAAGGACACCATTTATAAGCTTAATGTGTTACTAGGTTCTTACCTACTTCATGTTTTTTCCGGGCTATGGGGAACACATTTTATAGTTTAATATATTAATTTGATGGCATCCATTTATACCAAATTGAGTACTTATTAGTATGTTTATTTATATAAACCATGTGACATTATTACCTTCATTCATCTGTGAAATTTGAAATATCCATCCGGACAATTTTTAAAATCATTATGATTTTCTTATTCTCCTCCTTCCCAATCCAGCTTAGGGTGGAAAAATATGTAGCAAAACACACAAAAATAGTGATTTGTTAGTACATTGCATGCACAAAGCTGACAATTATAAACGAAAAACAGGTTCGTTATCTTCAAAACTTTTGTCCAGCATTTGACAGAAGGCTATGCTACTTTAACCTTGTAGGACACATCTGCAAGATGTGACAAGATACCATACCCCGCAACAGTTGTGAGGAGGCCAAGAAATCCCAGAATCTGCAGAGTTGTGAAGAGATTGAGCTGCAAAAAAGAAAAAATCATCAAATGAGGCATAGGTCACAGCTCTACTGAAATGACAATGCGAAGTGATTATACCTTGAGCCAGAAGAGAAGATAAAGCCCAAGGATCGATGCAAGGCCACCGTGAAACGCAAGAGCCGAGAGAGCTGGAAGACCGGAAGTAGGCGCGTTGCCAAAGTTGATATTCAACAGCCTCATCTGCCAGAGAATTCAAAATCAAAGGAACTATAAAATAGAGGAAGCGTTTTGCCATACCCCAACAAGGAAAGCGAGGAAGGGAAGGATGGTGAAGGCCAGAAACGTGTAAGAGAGCGCTGTTGGAGGCCGTTTCTCGGGAGTCCGGAAGATGTGTGCTATCTCGGCTTTTGGTTTGAAAACAGCCATGGGATCGGTCTCCACGGCCGGTGTTTTCTTTGACGCGCCCTCTGGAGGCTCTGGAAGGTCGAGTTCCAGACTTCCCAGATTCCAGAGGAAAGAGTTGGCCTGGTTGAAAGCAAAGACAGAAAAAAAAAATGAGCATTTGTTCGAGAGATAAAGTGTATGTACCATTTTGGCGTCCCCGACAATGAGATCCATGTCGTATTGGCCCGATAGATAATGCAGCTCCTCTACGAGTCCAAGGAAATCCTATACGAAAGCTGGGAATTGCGTAAAACTAGCGATGGCAGCTTACCAGCTGAAGAGCGTATCCCTTTTTCGACGACTTGAAGAGAAACAGACGCTCAGATTTGCCATACCGTAATCGGAAAAACACCTTCCACGACCCAAACATATGGATTACAGAAGATCTCGAGCAAGAAAAAAACTTCTTTGTAAAAAAAGTCATACCTGATGAGCAGAAAATAGAGCTCCTTCTGGAGTAGTGAGCTTGAAGGAAATCTTAAGCTTTTGCAGGTGGTTTGCGGACAGCGCAACGGATTTTTTCTCCTCGAATTTCAACCTGGCAGCCGAATTTCCACTCCACAAAGAAAGAAATGCAGAGCAAAAAATTTACTCTGTTTTGTAGTCGGGAGTGTCGGTGTCCCAGATAGAGATCGCGACATCCGAGACGAGAATGGTCGACGCATCCTTGGGATCGGCTTGAATCAAGCTCCAAAGGCAGATGAGAAGAGCAGCAGCAAGAAATCCTAGAAATCCACAGACGAAAATCAGATCACTGCGCCGCGGATCCTACCTCGCAAGCCCATCGCTCGCCGAAAAAAACCCTAGCTAGGGGTTAGGTCTTGTTAAACAATGCTTATTTCTTTAATTTATTGATAATTTAATCACTCAATTAAATTACATGGTTGTGAGGAACAAACGCGTGCACTGTTCTCTCGTGTCTCCAGGGCTGGTGACTGCGAGAAGCCAAGAAAATGTAGTTTGTAGCGGAACACTTGAAAGATTTTCACATACCAGTGTGCCCGATGGTCCTCTCCGACTCGAAAATTTCGTGATCGTTGCCTCCCTGAGAATCAAAACCGAGTTTTTGAAGACGCTAAGAAATGGTACACGTACCTTGAAAGTTTTGTCTCCGAAGAAATGGATCTCCTTGAAATCGTCGAGGAACTGGAGGCAGTAAGTTTTATCCCAGCCTCTGGGAAAAACCTGGAAAAACCACAGAAGTTTAGAATCCGAGAAGGCGAGCAGTGTGCCTGGAGCTTACATCGAAACTAATCTGGCCACCGATCGAGTAAGTAAGCGGCAAATGTGAAAAATTTTCCTTGAGAACATTAACCATGTCCCGTCGTATGTTATGAATCTGGTTGAGAGGAAACAGTGAGCACTAGAAAATAACAGTGTTTTTTCTTTACCTTGTCATATTGCTCGAAAGCATCGCGTTCTTCCTGGCTACAATTACGTCCGATAGGAGAAACGTTTAGCATACCCGTCCTAAACTCGATAAAAGTTCCTCTAACAAAACCAAGAAATCCATCAGTAGCTCCGTTTGGCCTTAGAAGCTCTCAGATCTTACCTCTTGATAGGAATGTCCAAATCTGCGATGTAGTGAAGCACGAAATTTATAAATTCCTGCATCGTTTTCCAACGTTACCATCGGCTCAAAACATCAATTTTTTTAAAATAATTTGTTTTACCTTGAGCTGATCGTCTCCAAGAAAGCTTTTTAGGCTCTGAAGTAAAAAAGGCATTGGTTTCTTCAGGGAGCAAAAAAAGATGACAGATCTTACCTGGCTACCAATTTGAGATCCACCTTTGTGAGCAACAAGGCCATTCTCAGAGAAAACATAGTCATAATCGTTGATAGCTGAAGAAAAACGGAAGGAAAAACAAGGAAAAGGAAAGGGGAAAAAAACGATCAGAAAATCCTTCCAGCAGAGCTTTGAATCTGATTCTACTCACTGTTCTTGCCAAGCTGCTCCGAGATTTTCGACAGATCCGAGCCACCAACGACCCCGACAGTGATCACCTGTTTGCATGCCAGCCTTAGAAACCTCTGTGGAACAGGGGATTTGATCTACATACCTTTCGGAGCTCCTGCAAGAAATCTAGCATTTCAACGGAAGCGACCTGGAGATTCGATCAAGAATCAGCGAGATGATGGGGAACTGCAAAGAAAATCTGACCTTCCTCGGCGGCGTGAGCGTTCCATCCACATCGAACAGCGCAATCACACCCGCCATTGCTCGCGAGATAGATCTGTGAATACCTAGAGAAGATCTATTCTAGAGGAGCGCCCCCACGCCCCGCCCAAACCAGCTACGATTTGGTGCGAAGGAATTAAATACACACCGCGAAAAGGTTAAAAGGCAAACTTAGATTAACGGTTGTGAGGCGGCCACGTAGCAGTACTTAAGCGCCTGGGATTTAGGGCTCTTGGTCGATTTTTCTTTTAGGGTTTCTGGGGCTGCTGGGGGGGACGAAGCCAGGAGAAATCGCCGGGAGGAATCGTTTGATCGTTTTCTCATTCTCGAGAGTGATTCTGCCGCTACATGGTGGATATTTGTAGTTTTTTCCGAGCGTTTGTTGAATCTCCGTGGTTTTCCAGGCAGGGAAGATCATCGCGAACTTGCTCGTTCTTGGAGGAGGAGCGCTGGTGAAAGCTGTTGCTCAGGCGTACAAGCAAGCGATCGTCAGTGAGTCCATTCTAGAGAAGAGATTTTGATCAGAGGGGAAAATATCTGTTTGAGTGTGTTCTAGATGCAAATAAATCGGGCGTTGCTCACGAGACGGTCCAAAACCTTGCACACAAGACAAGTAAGTCGATGACCTTGCATGAAGCAAGGATGATCCTTGGAGTGGCTGAAAACACTCCCTGGGAAGAAGTTCTACAGGTAAATGCGATCTTTGTGCCGCTCTTCTCGTCTAACACTTGTTTTCTCTCGTTTTCTTGCCTTTGAAGAAATACGACAAGATGTTTCAGAAGAATGCGGAGATGGGAACTTTCTATCTCCAATCCAAAGTTCACAGGGCAAAAGAATGTTTAGAAGCCGCGAAACGGGCAGGGGGATGATACCGCGACGATAGCAACGGGGGATTCTTTAGCAACGGTGGGGGGGAAGAACGATCGGCATAAGAAGGTTTTGTAAAATGGTTTAGCTAGCTAAGAGCGCAGCAGCTAGAGCGAAGCATGAGAGCGAACGCTTGCTGTTTTTTTTTAAATCTCACTGGAGAAGAATAAGGTTCTTTTGACGGACAGCTCGAGCGCGTCTTTGGATTGATCTAACTTTTCTTTGCTGTGATATCCATCCAGATCCAGTGCGCGAAATCTCCCAAGAGTTTTTAAGCGTTCGTGCGGGATCGATATGAAAGCACTCAGCAAAGCGAGGTTTTGGTGGAATTTTTGGGTGCTCCTGTCGGTGAAAACGCTGGTCTCCATTAACGTTTGCATGGAATTTGTGTCAGGATCCGCAAGAACACCAAAAAAAAGTTTTTTAAGCATTGTTCCCACTTTGGTGGATGCTAAGCAGTGGATTCCTTCTGATCAAAGGATCATGGCTAGAAATTATACAAAATTACCTATCGTCCATTGTAGCCTATTTTCATATCCCTTTCATGTCTGCTTCTCGTGTTCCTGGCACACTGATTGCCCGCATTGGGAACGTGTTGGTCGGACACGTGGCAAGGCGCTCGTGACACGTCACCGGCGACTTGCCCACGTCACGTCCCTTCCACACCGCCACCACGTGTTGCGGGCCCCACTCGAGGCGCGCGTCCGCCACGTGTGCCGTACACCGGAACCGGATATTCTGCCCTGTGGAGGGCGGAGATTCGGCGGGCATCTTTATTGACCGTCAGACAACGACGCTGACCGGTCCCAAGGGCGCTATTTAAAACCTTCAAACTACCTGACTCGGAATTTAGGGCTGAGCAATTTTTTTTGGGTGTGCGGAGGAATCAGAGCGTGTGTTCTTGCGTTGCCGATCTGCGCGCTCGCGTGTCTCGATCGGGGATTCTAAAGAAATCTCGCGATTTCGGCGTGTGATTGGGGTGAGCTAGAGCTATCGGCTGTGTCGGTTAGCCATTTCTTCTCCTCTGCGAATGCAGGCTTGAGATTTTAATTGCTTTGGCAAGGCGGCGGCTGGCTGCTGGCGGCGGCGAGGGAGTTTTTTTTCCCCTCTTTTTCTTTTTTTCGCTTGGCGCCGTGTAGATCGATCGATAGATAGATCGAGGATGGTCGGAGAGCCAGTCGTGCTGTTGGTGACCGATGCCGCTGCGCTGCCCGGAAGCGCCGTCGTTTGGGCGATGAGCGCCTTCGCGGACAAGGCAGCTCTCGGCAAGAGCCTCGCGATCTCTACTCATGCATCTCAATTCGGTCAGTCATTGTTTCCATTCGTTTCCTTGTTCTTATTCTTCATCGGGACTTAAAATTTTCTTTTTCCTCAGGTGGGAAGCTCAAGCAATCTTCGTCTAGCTTGGAAGTCGTAATTTCTCTTGGAATTGCGTCACTAGAGTGGGTCAAGGAGGTCTCTCGAGTGCTGAAACCGGGAGGGATTCTCGTTGTTCGTACGAGCGAGGTGTATTTTTTTTCTTCGTTTTTCTTTCGTTTTTTTAAAAAATTTAGCTCATGTGATTCTCGTGTTCAAGTTGCTAACTTGACGTGAATTTCAGGATAAGGCAGCAGTACAGCGAAGCCTTGTATTGGCCGGCTTTGTAAGCATTGAGACAATGGAACCTGTGGAAGGGCTTTCTCTAGCAGATGGCTTATCAGGAATTTCCCTGAGTGACTCCGTTTTGGTACGAAAAATATTTCAAGCTTCTCTCTTGATCCTTACCTCGTTCTTCTCTTTTCTCGTTTCGTATAATTCAAGCTTCGAGCACAAAAGCCGGCATGGGAAGCTGGAGTCTCGTTTCCAATCAAGAGAAAAGCAGTGGCGGCTCAAGGTGACAAGAATCTTCTGGACGTTATAGAAATGTGGGGAACTAACCAGAGAAGTTTTTAACAGATACGGCAGTCGAGCGCGCCGTAACTTCAAACGGTTCTTCTGCTATAGCAAGCTGGAAACTCCCAACGGTGGATTTGGATGAGGATGATTTCGATCTTGTCGACGAGGATAGTTTGCTTACAGAGGAGGACTTGAAACGCCCCGAATTGCCTGCAGGTCTGACCCGTCTCGAATTTCAAACTCAATTGTGCCTTTTCTCATTTTCTTCCTCTTTTGTTTGCAGCTGACGACTGTGAAGTTGGAAATGCTGGTCGCAAGGCCTGCAAGAACTGCACCTGTGGCCGTGCTGAGCTTGAAGAGGAAGGAAAACTTCCGGACGAGTTGTTAAACAATCCGATATCTCAGTGTGGAAGCGTAAGTTTTGCTGCCTTTTCTCGCTCCAAAGTTCTCATAAGTCGCTCTCCAGTGTGGCCTGGGTGATGCTTTTCGTTGTGGAACTTGCCCGTATCGAGGACTTCCTCCATTCAAACTTGGCGAGAAGGTGAGCGAGCCTTTTCTTATAGAGTCCTCTTGGTCTAAAGAACTCTTTGGTCTTTTCCCTTTCAGATCACTCTTTCGGGCACGCTGCTAACAGCTGATGTTTGAGCGATATGATTCATAGCCGGGGACGTAACTGGATCATCCCCTTGTCACAAAATTCCGGTTTTGCAAGGAGCAAAAGCTTTGATATGTTTTCTTTTAGAAATCAAAAAACTGTTGAAAACTGACTAGAAAGAGCGTGTCGATCGGATGATCCAAATCCAGTTTAAATTCGACGGGTATTGGATTCGAACGCGCAACCTTTCACACTGTTTTTCCCGCGCAAATTTGAAAAAAGCCCTAGAGTGGAAGAATGAGGGTCACAGCAGCGATGGATTCTTCGCCCGAAGCGCTGCTCGTCCGGATCTTCAACGAGTGCCAGCAGACGCACGCATCGCATCGGCGGCATCTCAAGGATCTTGTCAAATCCAGGCGCCAGCAAGACCAGCAAGAGTTCGCAGGGCTTTTCAAGAGGTTTGTGACCCCGATCTTCGATGTCATGAAGAAGGAGCCAGCAGTAGAGCGGATTGTCAAGTTTGTGGCCAGCGTAGTCACGTTTAGGGACGAGAATGCGGCGGAGTGTGATGCGTTTCTGGAGGATTTCGTAGACTTCCTTCTCTCTGCGGTTGATTCTTCCAACAAGAGCGTCCGATATCGTAGCTGCCAAATTCTTTCTGAGGTGAGCATAGTTTTTCTGTTCTTTCTTTTTTCTTATGTGCTTATTTCACCCGATAGTTTTCATCGATCAAGCTCACGATTTTCTTCGCCCTACAGGTGATCATGATGTTGGGAGAGGACACTGAAGTAAATGCGGAGCTCTGGGATGAGATGACTGCTGCCATGGAACGAAGAATCCAAGATAAAATTGCCGGCATCAGAGTTTTTGCTGCTCGTTCTCTGGGTCGTTTATTTTCCGATGACAAAGACAATTCGCAGTACCGACTTTCCTTACAATTTGATCCTAGTCCCGTAAGTTCTATTTGTATTTCTTTGTTTTCTCGCTTGCTTACACTTTTACCAGGACGTGAGAAAAGCAGCTCTCTTGGCCATTCCGGTCTTAAATACAACGATCTCGGATATTGTTAGCAGAACGGGCGATGTGAGCGCAGCGGTTCGGAAAGCAGCGTATTCAGTCATAAGAGACATTCCCATACAGAGTCTGAGGTGAGCGTTTGATGATTTCGTTAGCAGGAGCTGATTCACGTTTAATTTTAACAGTATTCGCCAGCGGGCGCTTGTGCTTCAGCGTGGCCTGCTGGACAGGGAGTCCACAGTGCAAGTCGAGTGTAGGAGCATGTTGAAAGATGGATGGCTCACGAGAGATTGCCAGAAGGATCCCTTGATCCTTCTTAAGCTCCTTGACGTTGAAACAAATGAGAAAGCGGGAGAGCTTGTGATGCAACAACTTTTGACAGAAGACTGCATGGGGGTGGACAACAGTCAAAGTCTTAGAGACTACTTAGATCATGATGGCACCAATGAAGGTAACTTACATTCTGCGTACCTCTCGCTTTTCAACTTTTTTTTTATAGGAAAGATTCGGTTCATGGAACCTGAAGAAGCGCTGTATTGGAGAACGCTATGTGCACACCTACACTCGGAGGCTCAGGTTGTGTTTTGTGTCTAAATGCTGCGTTAGATTTTGAAAAGTTTGTTAACTTGGTTGAAGGCGAAGAGCTCGGACGCGGCAAAATCTCGAGGGGCTCAAGCTGACGTTCTTGAAGCCGTTGCGGCTGATAAAGCTCAGTTGCTGGACTCGATACTACCGGCAACGGTTGCAGAATTTGTTACGCTGGTCGAGGCACATCATACCGCAGGTATACTATACTCTTTAGTCGATGCTGATCTTCTAATGCTAATGACTTTTTCTGAAGGATCAAGTCAATCGTTTGTGTCTCGCCAACTCCTCCTGCTAGCCAACGTGCTTGACTTTTCGGACATGGCAAGCAGAAAATGCGCCGCGGCTTCGATAAATAATTTTCTTTACCAGTGGACAAGTCCTGATCGCGGTCCCGAAATGACTGGAGATGGAATCTATCTGGGAGGGGGGAAGGAATGGTCCGACGCATTTGTGCAGCTTGCCAAGAAAGTTCATGCAACCCCAGATGCTTTTGAGGAGGCGATGGCTCAAGCTGCACTGGACTTGGGAAAAGTTTGCAGAGAAGGAGGGGCCGGTGCTCTTCAATGGCTTCAATGTTTGGCAACAACCGGCATTTTACTGGAAAACCTGAGATCAATACGCCAGTTCCCTGCTCATGTAATGGAAACACAAGAGATGGTTGACGGATTACTCATCCCTGCGGTAAGTGAATTGAAATGGTTGACGCTAACGCTGATGCTTGCTATAGGCTAACCACTTGGTGGCGGACGTTCGACGAGCAGGTGTCAGATGCTTGTCCCTGTACTGTTTGTCCGAAGAGCATCCAAGCGTGCGGGTTATCCGCCAACTTGAAGAAGCTCTTATCAAGAGTTATGGTGCTGAAAAGATCATGGCCATCAAAGGCATGTTCGACCTTGTGATGTCCCATGGTGCTGGGTTAATGGACAGTCAGCGGGCATCACATTCTCCTGGGCAGATGCAGCTGCCTCTTCTGCAGCTGCTAGCAGATATTCTGAGCGACCAACACGATATTTATGTTCAGGAGGACATAGGGGAAACAGAGTCCGCAAGAAGTGTTGCAGCTGAAGGTTTTGCAAAGTTGCTATTGCATAGTAAGCGATTTCCGGAGCTGGGCCTTGTCCGGAGCAGGGTTCTATCTGACTTATTTCGCATGTACTTTGACGAAGACACGAAAAGCATCCCGAGGTACGTCGTTTTTGCTCGTGCCAAAAGCTAATACTTTTTCCAGGTTGGGACAATGTCTTTCTGTTTTCTTTCACAACTACGCGTCGGCTACACCAGAACATAAGGTAATATTGAAAGCTCTGTCTGATACATCCATCCATCAACTGTGGACGTGTTTGCAGCGGTGCATCGCTGAGGTTTTCGTCCCTGTGTTGCGTAAAGAATGGCCTGGTCTTACTGGAAGTGCATGCAACTCACATATCGCCGCGATCAGGAAAAAAAATGCGTCTCACTTGTCGCGGTTTATGCTTGAGCTCCTGAAGCAGCCATTGTTCTCGCAGCAAAACCCCGATGAGTCTGCTGACTTCGCAATCCTTGCAATCGATCTAGCTCGTGAGGTAGATATGAAAACCATTGTAATTGACACTGTGACCAGCTTACTTTCCAGATAATGCGGTTTTCATCGAGAAAAACACTAGCTGTTAAAGCTTACAAGTCCGCGCTTTGCAAGGTTCTCGTTTCATTAAAGTTTCTGCCGTCACGACAGAAAGAGATCAGGGCCATGAGAGCGCTCCTTTCTCTGTAAGTTACCAGCATTTAGACCAGCTGATTTTTTTTTTTTTCTTTCGGCAGGGTCATCGATGAGATGGCGGGAGAGAAGCTTCTGCTCAAGGAACTCAGGGCAATGGCTGCAGAGCTCAAGAGCTTGGACTCGACCAAGGATGAAACTATTGGAAACGACGAGCTAGAGACTCTCCTAGGTAACGTAGACTTGAAGTCCTAGATTTTACGTCGACACGTTTTTCTTTTTGTGAAGCTTCGTTGGGATTCCTTGCCGAAGACGCTCCGCCAGAAGCAGCACCAGCTAAAACACCACGAAGTAAGCCTTTCAAAGTTCAAGAAAACTCTGGTTATCCAACTTTTTTCTTTCCAGAGCCCAAGGCACGCGCAGCTCCGTCAAGTGTATCTTCCGATTCTTCCGAGAGTGGCGTCCAGACGCCACCAAAAGCCACCGCCAGCGTCGCTCGGTCGCAGCGGAATTGCAAGACAGTGGCGATGGAGCGAATGCAATCGATCCGAGCGACCGCCAAGAGCAAGATGATCGATTTCGAGTCGGAAGAGAGCGAGACAACGTCAGAGGAAGAACTCGAGTCTCCTATATAAATAAGTTTGTAAGAGAGATCCAGAGTTTAGGGTTTTGCGAAGATCAAAAAAATGGAGGGATTCGGAGCTCATGCCGCTGGGGGAAGCTCGGGTACGTTTGGAAGCTCCGATTCTAGCGATCGTCATCGGCGGGACGATTGGAGCGGCGCTTATGATCCCTATCGGCACTCCAGCTATGATCGCGATCGCATCGCGGATCACCGACAATCCGGCACGCAAAGGGGGAGCCCTTCGGCCTGTTGTTGGCTCCCCCCAGTTTTCATTCTAGGTACCGCATTTGATCTCTCTCGCGCTCTCTTTCTTGTTCCTAGAGACCGACTCTTTGTAGATTTGTCGGTGCAGCTACTGTATTGTCTTTGTTTGGCCTCCATCCTCCACTGGAAATCGAAGCTGGACTGGGCTACTCGCGTCTCATCGATACCAATCCACTGTTTGTACGAGAAATCCAGGTTCTTCCTCTTTGATCTTCCTTCTCCTTTGGAGTGGCCTCGAAATTTTTTTGTTTTTCTTTAGGTGAGAAGATTTCAGGGAACTGGAGAACCAGTTGTTTACTCGTTCCACCACCGTCCAGCTTTGGAAGACGTTTTGGAATGGTCACATGACTATGATCAAGGTTTGCATGCCCAAAGCCACCAGGTGTGAGTCGCGATCTTTTCTATAGCATTTACATGTCTTGTTCGCTGTTTTAATTGTTTTTTTTCTTTTTTTTCTTTTTTCCGCTAGGAATGGGCATTGTGGCTCAACAAAGGTTCTGTGATGACAATAAAATACAACGTCATGGAGCCGGACTCGGATCTTATATTTGCGATTTTTCAAGGTTGTTGCTGCTTAAGTGGTGCGTGGATTCACTGGTTCTTCTTCGTACAGGCAAAGAGAACTTCCTTACTTGGGTGGCTGATCCATTGCATCCAACTTCTTCTGTTTTCCGCCAGAAAGTGAAAGGTAGCGCTTATCGTTCATGTCGGCAACTGTATATTGACCATGTCTGGACAGGAAGTGGAGTCTTCGAGTATTTCATCGAGGAAGATGGCGATTACTATTTCGCCTTCGGAAACATGAACGACTATTATATAGAGGTAGAAACAGTGTGATGGTTTCTGTTGATTTCGGAACTTTTGCTGGGTTGATAGGTGGCTCTGCGGCTCGAGGCTCAGCTAAAAGCTTACAGCACGAAAAATCATGATTCTCGGTGCTCCTTGAAGTCGGACGTCTGCAAAATCAAGCTTCCTCTCTTTCAATCTACGTCGATTCTGTTGACCACCTCGGAGCACGATGGGTTGCAACACATGAGAGTCAAGTACAAAGCTCGTTGGGCTACATTCGTAGTTGGCTTTGGTACGTTTGGGTTGAAAGTTCTGTTTTTTATTTGGTGTGTGGCACTAACTTCGGCTTCCAGGAGCCTTGGTGGCTGTTTTGGTACTTCTGGTGAAGAAGAATCCCTGCAAGAAAGCTGACAAGAGGCAAGAGGAGAAAACTAAGCCTGAAGACGCCTCCCCGCTTATTGATGAAAAACTATCAAACGAGCAGCCTAGTGTTGATCATCGGCATGGGGAAGGTTCACATTCAAGTCCAGGCGACGAACAGCTATGCGCAATCTGCCTGGATGCGCCAAAAGACAGTTTCTTCGATCCGTGCGGCCACTGTGCGACTTGCTATGCCTGCGGAGAGAGGTAACTCATTATTTTCTAGATTCATTTCATGAATGGTCTCTCGTTCCTTTGGTCTTTGCAACAGAATCAAAGCGAGCGGGAACGCAATCTGTCCCATTTGCCGGGAGAACATAAGGACTGTTCGCCGACTCTTTGTTTCATGACTTTGAGGTAAATTCATTCGAGTATCTTGTTTAATCTTTGTGTTCTTGGAAAAGAACGACTTGTATATAGAGCAGGGCGACCCTTGCAAAGTAAAAACGATTACGTTCACTCCATACTTTCCAAAATTGCTAATCAAGCTTGAATTATCGAGAATTCTCTTTCGCATGGAAACCAACTTGTTATGATCTAACAGTTGTTAAGAGAAGATTTCATCGACGATCTAACGGTTCTTAAGAGAAAATGTCATCGACGATCTAACAAGAGAAGATGTCATCGACGGTTTAAATCTCTCGCTAAAATATTTTGGATTGGAGAGCTTTCTTGGGATTTGGAGGTCGAGGTGCTGCGGCGATTGACTTTGGATGATCTCGCACGAGCAGCTCTATACAGGACGGAGTTTGCATGGCGAGCAGTGAGATGATGACCACGAATACCGAAGATTGCACCTGGCTACCATGGTCGAAGACAAAGTAAGATGATCCGGCTGGCCAGTCTCGCCACCGCTGGCTCGAACTTGGCGTGCTCATGCTCGGTGGCTCTTACACGATTGTTTTCGTGGACCTCATCAAGCTAAATGTGGGAGTCCTCGCTTGAGACGGCCTTGTTTACTTCAACGGCCAAGAAGTGAAGCTCTTGGAGATCACCAGCAGTGCCACATACGTTCCCTGGACTTTGGACCTCGAGAATGAGAGCCTTTCCTGGACAAGAGGGAGCCCGTGGCCGGCTGCCCCCGAGAGCTTCCACAAGAGGGTGAAGAAGTGAAACCAGGGAGTTCCAGCCAGGGTGCGTGATGTATGAGAGATCCAAGGAGTCCCGGCCCATATACGCGTGACAGATAAGACGAGGTCATGTTCTTTGTCCTCAACACTGCAGTGATTCACTGGTACAACAGAGCAGATTCAGCATGGGGAGTAAAGCGATTGCCCGAAGCATGAAGTACCAGATGGAGACGGGAACCTCCTTGGTCCTCTATCTTTCTTTCCTTCTTGTGCAATTCCCTCTCTCTCTCTCTCTCTCTCTCTCTCTCTCTCTCTCTCTGTGTCTGTCTCTGTGTGCGCTATATTCACGAAACAGGCCTGAAGGTCGACGTCCATTAGTTGAATTGTTGAAGCACGAATGACCGAGAGTTAAATGCTTTGTGCAAAGTAGAGTTCTTCCTTCTGCAAAGAAATGAAAACTGAATGGTAAAAAGGTGATCTCTGACAAACAGAGGATACAGAATAAGTTTTAAAGCTTCCGGAAGATGGGATGCCAGATCCTTTGATCCTTCTTGTAAGCCCCCTTTATGTTGAAACAAATGAGGAAGCTGGAGAGTAAGAACTTGATGTGAAGACAATCAAAGTCAATGTAAGTTAATGGAAAGTCAATAAAGTCAATGGAAGTCATGCAAAGACAATATATTCAAGTCAATGAAAGTCAATGCAGGTTAATGCGAAGTCAAAATGATCAAAGTGATTTTCACGTCCGAAACTAAAGATGATCCAGGTTGACATTCGAACAGAAGAAGAATATGAGTCTTCGTTGCAGAATCCCGTGCCATGCTCTACAAATTTTCTTCGTTAGCTCGTTCCAACAAAGAACACCTGTGCTGTTTCGTCGTCTGACGCAGAGACAAGGAACTGGCCATCGCTGCATAGCCCAGAACCGTGAGCAACGCAATCACACCAAATACTTTCACAGCTCTACCTTGTTACTGCCATCCCTTGAATGCTCTCGCCATGACCGCGATAAGTTCTCAAGCACGCCCCACTCCTTGCGTCCCACTGCCAGAGCTTGCCATCCTCACAGCCAGTGAAGACTTGCTCGCCATTGCACGACCACACAAGCTTGTAAATCCCAGACTGCCAAACGGAGAAGGATCGATGCAAAGAGATCGAAAACAAAGAAAAGAGCTACTGTGTACCGTGTGTTCGCAAGTCAATCGTGGCGAGAAGCTGTGGTAGAAGTCCCAGATTACGAGTTTTTGGTCCTGTCCTCCCGTGGCTGCTAGCGCCAAACTACAAATCAGAGACACCACCACATCAGGAACGCTTTTTAAAATCTCTCTTGGCTCCCGCTCCTTTTGGTTCTTCTTTCTTTACCTGGGAGACATAGCAACGCACTCAACCGATGCGTCGTGCACGTCATTGAACTCGTGAAGAACCTGAAAGGCATACGTAAGAGGAACTTTCAATGATAGAACTAGAAGTGAATCGAACTTTGCCACTTTGTAAGCTGATAAGGCGGACAAGTCCACATGATGCGCCTGTGAGAACGAGCTTGGAGTCATTGCTGAAGGCGAGGCAATTAACATCTGCCAAAATTTCGTGAGAACGAAATAAACAAAAAAGAGAGACTTTACTTTGCTTCACTCCATGAATACATGCTCCAGATTTTGGATCCCAAACGGAAAACCTCTCCTCAGATCCTGTGCAAACTAGCTTCCCTGCGCAGAAAAAAAAACCAGGCATATGATTTTCCATCGTCCCAAAGATAACATTACCATCGGGTGTAAAACTTCCACACACCACTGTGCCTTGGTGCCCAACAAACATGGTCATGAAAACTCCACTGTCAGCATTCCACATCCACGATGAAAAATCGGATCCAGCGAGTATAACATGGCCGTGAGGGTGCCACTGGATCCACTGCATCAGAAAAACACGAGAAGTTTTTGGAGTCAAGAAAACGAGACGAAAAAAAGAAAGAAAAGAAAGCATGCCTCGATTTCACCCGGACTTTCAAGTCTATGCCTCAGATCGCCAGAAAATGGATTCCATATGTTGACAACTCCATCCGCTCCACCGGAGGCGAGAAGAAGGCCATCGCCACTGAATGCCAAGGCCGTGACACTATCTGTATGGCCTGGAAGAAATCTATAGAAGAAAACCAAAGGAAAAGATAGAAAAGAAAGACACCAACCTTGGAGGAGGAGAGGGGGTGCTTCATCACCGATCCTCCAGATGAATGCCCGCTTGTCACAGCCACCAGTAGCAACCAGAGCTGAGTAGCAAGCGATGGAAACCACAGGCTCTGTAGTACGAGCTCTATGTTTTAGCAAAGCATCAAAATTTCCCAAGAACCTTACCGTCATGGCCCACGAAAACGTGCATGGAATCCCCCTCGATGTCCTCTCCTCCATCTTCTCCATCTTCATCTAGCGACATTCCAGCCATCGCAATCTCCATTTCCCTGTACCTAGGGTTTTAGGGTTCTAAATGGTAGCCCTAATATAACGGGCATCTCTTTGAAGCACTAGGCAAATTTTTTGGCTTATACTTGTTGTCTCTTTGAGGAAGTCTTCTCAATGATTTGAACAAGGCTTGAAACGTATTTTGTCTTTCCATTGGGAAATCAAGCTTTCCAATGTAACTAGGTTTCCAACAGTTTGCGCAAATAGTAGCATTTCGCTCCTTAGCGCTAGAATGGCGCCTCAAGCACAAGCTCCTTGTATGGTGGATGATCAAGAATACGAGAACGAGCTCGTCCAAGTTCTCGCTGAAAGTGGAATCAAGCAAGTTCCACCAAGTTTTGTGCAAACTGTGGAGGATGCTGCCAATCAAGGGGACCTCATACCCGTCATTGACATGGCCGCGCTTAGAGCTGATTCTAGAAGAGAACTCGAGCTCGCCAAGCTCGCGAGCGCCTGCCAGGAATGGGGCTTCTTTCAGGTATGTTGCTTTCTTCTTCTCTTTTCTCATCGTTCTTTGTGCTTGCTGGAAGGTTATCAACCATGGAATGGCAAGCACAAGATCTATTCTAAAATCTGCCAGGGACTTCTTTGAATTGCCGCTGGAGATGAAGAGAACTTGGCAGAAAGTACCAGGCCAAAGTGTTTCTAACATCGAAGGATATGGTCGCTACAATACCTCTTCTCAGACCATCTCTGACTGGGTAGACGTCCTGGTCGTGTACACTGAGCCACCATCATGCAAAAACATTGACAAATGGCCACTGCAACTCAGGTATCTTCTCCTCTACAATGTTACGCTTTCTCAAATACATTATTAAACTTTGGTCTTTCAGAGAAGGCATTGAAAGTTACAGTGATGATCTCAAGGAACTTGTACTGGAGATGAATTGTGCTATATCGGATACACTTGGATTATCTGGAGATTACATCAACAAAATGTGTGGTGAATACTCATCTGCGCTTCGAATCAACTTCTATCCTCCATGCCCAGAGCCAGATAAAGCTCTGGGAGTAAGTCCACACTCGGATGGTTCAACCATCACTGTCCTTTGCGAGGATTCGGGCCATGAAGCTTTACAGGTAAGAAAAAATGGAGATTGGGTATCTGTGAAAGTTGTTCCAAATTCTCTCATTGTCAACATAGGAGACATTGTCCAGGTACTAAACTTCTTGATATTCAAAGCTTTGATTGTACGAGAAAATTTCTTCCAGGTGATTAGCAATGGAAAGTACAAAAGCGTGGAGCATAGAGCAGTTGTCAGCTCTGAACATGATCGAATTTCAGCAGTTATGTTTAATTATCCATCTATGAATTCGCACGTGGAAATCTTTCCAGCGCCGCCACTTTGCAAGGATCACCCTGCTCTATACAAGTCGTTCACTTACTATGAATATCTTTCATTCTATTTGAACCAAAAGGCTCCTGGGAAGGCTCGAGTAGATTCTCTTTTGATCTGATTGTAACATCACATTGCGCTAAATTCTGAACTTTTAATGCCTCTATGATATAATTTCAGCAGTCATGTGTCGAATTGAAAACCTTTCTAGGTACACTTACGACAAAATAGCTTTCATTCTCCAAAGGCCTTCCCTTGTTGAAATCTAGGGCTAGAGTAAAGATTTTCGTGTTTATATATGCAAAGTTCACTCCATGCATGGACAGGAAACACCTAAAAATACCATGTATGGTGTGAGCAAAGCTTCGAACATAAGAAAAGATAGACATTGGTATCTGTTCTTGGTCCATGTACTTCAAGAAAGAAATTCCCTAATAATCAAAGCTTTGAATGGAAAATACAAAAGCATGGAGCATAGAGCTGTTGCATGATCATAATTTCAGAGTCATCTGTGGGTTTGAAAACCTTTCCAGGGATCAATACAAGTCGTTCACTTACTACAAAATATCTTTCATTCTGGACCAAAAGGCTTCCCTTTTGATCTGATGACTTTAGAACATTACATAGTTATAATCGAATCTAAAACTTAGAGCCAAAAGTGGCTAGTATATAAACCTTACAGCAGCCATACTAATTCCTTATGGCAGTGTATGGCATTTTGGGATGCTTTCTACTTATAATTACCACAGCTGTTGGATTCACGTTCAAGGGCTCTGACTATGTTCTCGTTGAGGTGTTGTTCAATCGGACTCTAGACATTATACTTGAGCAGCTAAATCGAATAAATGATAATGCTATGATCCAAATTGGTTCGAGAGCACTCGAAGATGTTGCAGGGGTTGCCTCTCAACGTCTCCATTGGGCTTGTGGTCGGTATGGCAATGATCTCTATGCTGGCGGACAAGGATGCTCTTCAAGCTCCTTCTCACATATTACAGGCCACGCATTCAAGGTTCAAATTGGTGCACTCATTGAAAGCGTGAGAGCTCAACTCTCAAGCATCAGGAGGTCGGGTTTATACCCACGTAGATTTGAGGCCCATTTTGGTAAATACATCTTTGAATATTTTTATCCACCATTGCAAACACCACCGCCCCCACCGCCATGGGGATATCAGCTAGACTCACTGTCCCATGAACAGGATCTAGAAAGAAACATCGAAACATCCATGGGATTAGCAGCAGCTACTACAGATTGTTGGGTTGTAGGGTTTGAACTGGAGAGCAGTAGTCCATTCAACTCAAGGCTATCCAAGGGTGGCTCGCTTTTGTCTCATGACAGGCATTATGCTTTCCATGTGACAAGTGCATGTAACCTGATTTTCTTCGAGCTAGGGGAAGATGGTGTTAGATTTGTGTGGGCGAGTGGAACAGTTGCCCTGGACTGTGTTCTTAGTCTTTCTTTCGAGGGGGTCCTTGGGCTGTTTGATAAGAATGGTTTTCACCTGTGGTCTACTCCTAGGCAATGCTCACAGCCTTGCCTCTTGAGCTCGTCTTTGGTCATCCAGAGGGATGGAAACGTTGTCTTGTATTCTAATGCAAAAGCCATATGGGATACAGGAACTAATAAATAATCCCACTACAAATCATCTAAATAAAGACAAATAAACTTTCCAAAAGACAAAATAATAATGCTTTCAAGTGAAAATAGCCAAAAGACGCTTAAATCATTCTTTGCGAGAGATATACTTTTGTCTATGTAGTGTGTAATTCTTCCAAAATTAAGATCCATGTCAGCGATAGCCGCAAGCATGTCGCGTTGGAATGCGATAACTTTGCATTAAAAGTTCGTCTAAAGCGGCAAATTTGTCGCATGAAAAGAAAATTCTACAAAAAAAACAGAGAGATATTGTACACGTCAATTAAAGAGGAACACATTGCCTTTTGCGGGAAGGTATAATGTGTTGAGGCAGATGCACGAGAGAGCATGGACAACTTCGGCATCCACGCCCTCCACGAAACCTCGCTTCCTCATGTGATCCGAGGTAGCGCGCTTGGCATACAAGCTCTCCACGCGAACCCGATCCCTGGCTCCGTGAAAGAGCTTGAGAACTTTAGCGTACATTGTGCGAGAAATGAGAGTCTGAAAGGGAGAAGCAGTGTAAGTAAGCGCAGGCCTTGATCAAATTTTTTCTTTCTCTCTTACCCCGTAAGTTGATGGCTCGTTCTCCGGATTGCCGTGCATCTTCTGCAAGGCCGAGACAGCGTCCTCGATTATATGAAGTGCCTCGGCGACTATGGTGTTGTTGTCATCCACGCCGATGGATCGCTCCATGTAAGCTTCGTTGATGGTCATCTCCCCTTGCCTCAGCTTCTCTTCGAACCTGGCGAGATCCTTAAGTGCGTAGTTCATGTTTTGATGGCGTATGGCCAGCAGCGCAGCCGTGGCTCCAAGGTGGCTTCTTTTCTCGTCCAGAGCAAGGTGAAAGGCTAATAACGCGACCCTGTGACCGAGAAAATACCAAAAATTATGCTCTAGTTAGAACTAGCATACCACAGAGTTGTGTGACAGGGCTTGTCTGGTGTGGAAAACTTGTCGAGAATCGTGAGAAGATCCTATAGCGCTTTGAAAGTTTAGAGGACGCAAAAAATGAAACATTCAACTTTTGTACCGTGAGTAGATTTTTACGTGGTTTGCTCGATCTTTTAAGCTTACAGCGCGCAAAGTAGGATGCCTGACAGGAAAGAGTCAGTACTCGGAAACAACGAAAAAACATTGGTTACCTGCACAGGGAGCATTACATCAAGGTAGTCATACTTCCAAAGTAGTCGGATTGAAGCGGCTGCTGCACCATAAGCCATCATTGTATTGAGTTCTTGCATGAGTCTAGCCTGAAAAGTTCCATTTTATTCGGCATTTTGTAAAACAAGAACATAAAATTTCTACCTGATTCACAGCCATTAGAGAAGACTTGAACGCTTTGACAGCTTGTGATGTATCCCGACTAAAGCGAAAGCCAAGTCGGGCTGCTATCCTCACTCCGCGGAGCAGCCTAGCTGCAAAAACACATTGAAGCTCAGAAGCCACGGATTAGCGATAGTAGAGGTTTACCAGGATCTTCAGCAAACGATTCGTCAGGAGGAATGATAGTCCGGACCTTTAAAGCAAACAAGATGAGAAATTTCTTTTTTGAGAAAGGCTAGACCGACTACCTTCTTTTTTTCCAGGTCAGGAAGACCTCCAACGTAATCGAAAAGAGTCCGCTCGAACGGGTCATACATAAAACTGGAAAAGTAAAATAATATAATAATTTCTTTTTGTTGAAAAACACGTTGTAAACACATACCCGTTTATGGTAAAATCTCGGCTCATTGTGTTCTCACATCGAAACAAGTCCTCCTTGCTAAAGAAGTCCTTCATAATGTTTCTGGGTTTTCTCCTACCTACGCTAGAAACAGTGTGAAAGCTCGACACCTATGGCAGCGCAAAACGAATGCTAGTAAAAAAACAGAAAAGCCAGGTAGTGACTTTTACCTCAATCGTGTGGCCAAAACAAGTTACATGGCATACAGGAAAGTGTCTACCGACGATCATGGAACGAGAAAAACTTTTCTTGACCTGCAAGAACGAGTCAGCCGTGAATACTTTCGAGGTGCGATTCTTTACCTCGTCAAGATTGGCTGTGGTAATAATATCGTAATCTTTTGGAGCCTGCTTTAGCAGAGAATCTCTTACGCAGCCTCCAACAAGGTAGACACCATAGCCTGCTCACACTTTGATGCATCAGAAGGTAAGTCTTTCCAACGCTCGACTTCTACCTCTGTCCTTAAGCCGCTGTAAAACACTCCACGCACTTTGGGGAATGTTACCATGATAAATGCCACACTCGGCGCCTGTTAACTTCTTCCACTTGGGATTTGCAGCACTGTCTGCAAAAGAAAAGTAACAAACAAAGAATTCAATCAAAAACTTCGAGCAGATACGAGGAAGAACGACTGGGAAACCAGAAAGTTTTTACACTAGTGACATGAAATCACCTGCAAGGACCGCGGCAAGACAAAGAGGCAGACTTGTGAGGACAACCATTTTTTCCTCCTTCTACACAACTACAAACTTAAAGCAAGTTCTCTGCCAAGAACATGGAAGACAAAGTTAAGGAAGTAATCCACACCACATTTTCGACACCAGGAATCCAAGTAATAGAAAAAAAAAAATCTAAAATGCGAACCTTCATCGTCTGTGGCGTCTTCATCATCTCCATCGATAGCTACTGGCAATGGCAGCGGCGCTGCTTCCACAGGTCTCACAGTCCCAAACGCTGGATCTCTCTCCACGTCAATCAGCGGCACTATCTACAATGGCGCTTTAGCAGCGTGTAGCGATGAGATAAGGCGCCACTAACCTGATCTTTAGCCGCGGCGGACAATGTAGAGAGCAATGCGGCGTAGGACGAGCGCAGCGACAAGATTAGTGACGAGCGCTTCGGCCTGATGAGTCCCGGCAGGGCCATTCTCCCGCCGCGAGCCCCTAGTCCCCCATTCCTCGAGCTCCAAAGCCCTAGAATAACCCTTAAACCCTAAACCTCAGGCGAGAATATGCTTCTTGTTTTAAATCAGAGGCCTTTGTTATAGTACACTTCGGAGACTCTGCAGTTCCAGAGCGATGGCTCCAGGCTCGCCACATCCACCGAGGCTTTTTGCTTGAAAATTCCAAACGAGAGAGGAACCCCCGCTTGGATCGACAATGCGATCATACCCATCAGTGCCGGCGTCTTGAGATACGAGTGCCGCAAAAAGAATCTCGTTCTCTCCAATCTGCAGTGAAAAAGCTTTAGTTTGATCGATCTTGAGAGGAAGATAACTAATTTCTCACGAAGCGATCAACGATCTAGCAGCAGCAGAAGCCATGAATCCATCGAGCAAGCCAAGCTAAAAAGGAGAAGTTACAGTACCTGTGCATCACAAGAGGTGGGAGGAGGAGAACTGGAGTAGCGGCACTGACACGGGCGAGTATGCAAGCACTGACTGCCATGGCTCCAGCTCGTCGGCTCTCCCCGACTTCCTCGCCCTTCTCATCGTAGACTTTGATCCCCTGGAGGAACTCGTCCCTGCGAGTGATTCCCAGGTTGAGCACATCGGCCGCTGCCACTGCACAAAAGGGGATAAGCTTTCGAGCTAACCGCGTCCTGAAAAGAGGGAAAGTTAGAACGAACGATTTTGGAACTCGCAAACCTCTTGACGATTCTTTGAGCCTTGTAACTCGTGACAAGATCATAAACAAACCAAGAGTTCAAGACAAACAATAAACTATGCGGACAAAAAAGAAGAAGCCGACAACAAGAATGACGCTTCTCGGAGGAAAGGACTTGCTAAGCATGAAAATCTCGCAGTTCTAGCAATGAACAAAGCGAGGAAAGAAGAACGAAGAAGAAAAGAAAAAAGAAAACCAGCGTACCAGGGAGCTCGATCCAGAAAGAGCTTTGAGGCCGAAAGTATCTATAAGATCGATCCTCAAGGAAGGAAAGATAGAAAAGAAGATGGACGAAGGACTCACCATGGTCTGCCCTGGGGAGCTCGATCGAGCAGCGCATTGAGGCCAACGGCGGCGCCAACAGAGCTGGCGGTAGCGCCCAGGTACGCCTGGAAGATCTTCTCCATGCTCTCGGCATTCGAGGCGTTCCTATTCGCGTAGTAGTGGAGGCAGTTGTACGTTTGATTGAGCCACTGCGCCCCAACGTTCTGCGAGAATCCCCGCGCGGACAGCATCAGGGTGTCGAGGACGAGATTGCAAGGGATGATGAACGAGAGGCGCAGCGGGAGGAAGATCTTCTCGCCGGTGTCGGGATGAATGACGGCCTCCTTGATCTTGCGCGCCCTATCGAGCTTCTCCGCCGATATTTCGCCGCCATGCTCGTGCTGCTCGAGGAGATCGAGAGCAGCGTCTACCTGCGCGCTCGTCACGAACGCCGTGCGGATGTCCATCATGTTGAAAATCCGCTGGACGCGCGACCAGTAGGAGCTCTCGTCCATCGCCGCCGACGAGAGAGAGAAGCGTGACGAAGAACCCTAAAAGCAGGGCTTTTCTGCCACGTCGGACAGGGTTTTAGCTTAGGGTTAGGGTGTGGCAATGGCCGCGCGACGAGCTCTCCGGAAGCTCGGAGGGGGAGCTTCCAGTCTCTTCGCCGATTGCCACACATCACATTCTTCCGGGCAACGATCCTGGTCCAGGTTTCACGAATTCGCGAAGGCGGATTATCACTTCGCCGCGCACAGGGATGAATCATCGCGGCGGGATCAGGGCCATTTCCCGCTGGATGCCAGGAGCATCGCGATGTTTGGGAATTCCAGGAGTCTGGGCAAGGCTGTTCCTGCTGCTGGCCTTGGCGGCGGCCATTCCGTTCGATTTTGTAGCTCGATGAGTGAGAGTGCGGCGGAGAGCATTCGATTTCCAGAGACGCTGGCGGATGCCGCGCAGGAAATCGTGTCCGGTGCCGCTGGTGCCACTTACGATCTTAGCAAAGAGATCGTTTTGGCGGTGTCCGAGTCTTTCCCCTGGACAGCGGCAGTGCAGTACGTTATATACGCGACTCACGTTGTTACAGGTCTTCCTTGGTAAGAAATTCTTGAGTTCCTTTGGTTTTCAAGCTCTAAGATTCTCTCTTCTTTGGTTTTTTTCCTTGTGAGGTGGTTGTCCATAGCTCTCACGACGGTCGCCGTTCGTACTATGGTTCTTCCACTCGTTATCTATCAAGTGAAATCTACGGCAAGGTTTGCGGTAAGTTCTCTTGAGTTTTCTGTGGTCTTGAGACTTTGTTTTTCCTCCTAGCTGTTGAGACCAGATCTCGAGAAGATCAAAGTTGATATGGAACAAGCTGTAAGTATGCACACATTATCTATCTCCAAGTTTCCAACTTTTGTTGCTTGTATCAGAACTATGATCCTGTCGCTTTGGCCGAGAACAAGAGGAAAATGGCTGAGCTCTTTGCAAAGTGTGTCTTTTTAGTCTTCTTGTTTTCGAGACACAGCGGCTTACATTTTCTTACAGACACAAAACTGATCCTTTTACTCCTCTTATCGGCGCGCTGCTTCAAGGACCTATCTTCATGTGCTTCTTTTTTGGGGTGCGTAGTCCCAATCTTTGTTAATTGCAAGCAACTGTGGTGGTGATGGATCTTAACAGCTGCGCACGATGGCAGAAAAAATGGATTCTTTCAAAGAGGGTGGTGCGTTTTGGTTCACGGACTTGACAACTCCGGACGAACTATTTATTCTGCCTTTCATTACTACTGCCACTTTCCTGATAACAGTGGAGGTATGAAGTAGTGTGTGTCTAGTTTTTGCGCTTACTGGCAGACTGTGGTAGCTCAATGCTGTCGACGGAATGCAAGGACAACCGAATCAGAAGACCATGAAGAACATATTGAGAGGAATGGGAGTTTTGTTTCTGCCTCTCACTGCGCAGTTTCCGAAGGTAATCGACAGTTTTCCTGGTATATTTTCTTACTACTTTCTGCTTCTTGACATGTAGGCTCTTTTTTGCTACTGGGTGACGTCCAACCTGTGGTCGATGCTTCAGGGTGCATGTAAGTAGAGCTTGTTCGCTTTACTTATTGACGCCTCTCACGTCTCATTCGTTCCTTCAGTGCTGCGAAACAAGAAATTCAAAGCATATCTCGACATCCCGGACACGTCTCACTTGGGAACTCCAGCGCCGCCGCCTACAATCGCCAGCTCCAAACCCCCGGCGAGAAAGGCAATCACTCCTCCACCAGGCGTAAGTTTCAATCCCGGCGACTCGAAGAAGGCAAGGCGCCTGGTCCACTGAGCCGATCAAAATCTCTGCGAGGTACTTCAGAGCAAGTTTTGCAGGAAAAACGAAGAACAATTAATCATAAAGTTGCTGCCACCAGTGTAAAAAAATCTGAGACAACGTTTTCAAGTTCTCCAAAAGTGATACGAAAGAGAGGCTTATTCTTATTCCAAAGTTTCGAAGGTCACCCTCTACAAACGCGCCTGGAGCGCTGGCACAAACTTGACAATGTGTCGATACGCATCCAGCGTGAGGAAGTCGTCCAGATCCTCCTTGGTGCACTGCCTCGCAAACAATGCCGCGGCCTCGCGATATCGCCCACTCTCAAACCTCTTCTTCCCCACCTCTCTCTCGATCCTCCCCATCTCCTCCTCCACGACTCGCCCAAACAGCTCCTTGCTCACACTGACGGCTACGATCTCGCCATCCAGCACGGCGCCGTACTTGATCCACTGCCAGTTCTGGACCCGGCTAATCTCCGCCGTTGCCGCGTCCTCCATGAGGTTGTAGAGCGGTACGGAGCCAGTCCCCGTGAGCCACGCGGCGAGGTACTGGATGCCGACACGTGTGTTGTGGCGCAGGCCCTCTAGGGTTCTCACGCCGCGCGGCATTTGGAGGAGGTCGGCCTCCGTGACGCGCACGTCGTCGCGCTTGATGTGGAGCTGGTTGGCGCGCGGCATGTTGTCGTCGAAGACCTTGGTCACCAGCTCGATCAGTCCGGGATGCGCCGCCCAGGTTCCATCGTGCCCGGCCTTCACCTCGCGGAGCTTGTCCGCGCGGACGAGCTCGAAGGCGGTGTCGTTGGCGGCGGGATCGTCGCGGATGGGGATCTGCGCGGCCTGATCGGTCGGATCGGACAAGCGATCGATCGATGCAGGCAAGTGAAAGATCGGTCAGCAAGCGAAAATATTTCGGGGAAGTGGATCCGAGTGAAAGAACGATCAATCAGGCAAGAACAGGCAGATATTTCGGAGAATCACGCAAGATCGATCGATGTTTCGGGGAAGTGGACTGTAGATCGATAGCGATCAGGTCGGAGTTATCAATCAGGGAAGAATAGGCAGATATTTCGGAGAATCACGCAAGAAAGTGGACTGTAGATCGATCGCGATCACGTGATGAACAGGCAGATATGTCGGAGCATCACGATCGATGAGCACCACAATCTAGGAAATAGGCAAGAGAGATCGATGGAGGGAAAGAAATTCTGGAAGGAATGGTAGGAGAAGAGAAAATTTTGGCTTACCATTCCTCCCATGGCGTGGACACCGCGGCGATGGCACGTCTGGATGAGCAGCTCCGTGTAGCTCTTGAGGAAGTGCTGGGTCATCCCCACCTGGAAGCGATCGGGCAGCAGTCGATCGGGGTGAGCGCGCACCGTCTTGACGAAGCTAAAGATGTAGTCCCAGCGCCCGCAATTCAATCCGGCCGAGTGCTCGCGCAGCTCGTACAGGATCTCGTGCATCTGAAACACCGCCGGCAGCGTCTCGATCAGCACCGTCGCGCGGATGCTACCCCGCGGCGCGGCCATCCTCTCCTCGGCTCGATCAAACACGGCGTTCCACACCGCGGCCTCGCGCGAGTGCTGCATCTTTGGGAGGTAGAAGAAGGGGCCATAGCCGTCGTGCTTGGATCGGAAGGAGGAGTGATTGTGGAAGTAGTAGAGGCCGAAATCGATGAGCGCGCCAGTGGCGGGCTCGCCATCGATCTCGATGTGGGCTTCCTGGAGGTGCCAGCCGCGGGGGCGGACGAAGAGCACCGCGGTCTTGTCATTGAGCTTGTAGTGCTTGTTCCTGGCCTTGTCCTCGAAGGAGATGGATCGATTCACAGCGTCGCAGAGATTCTTCTGGCCGCGCACGATGTTGTCCCAGGTTGGAGAGAGGGAATCCTCGAAATCGGCCTGCCAAGAAACAAGAAATTCTCACTAGACAATTCGATCCAAAATCTTGCAAGAGCTAGAAATTCCACATCCAAAATCTTCGCAAGAAACTCAAGAAACTCTCGAAATCCTTCGCTGCTCACCATGAAAACTTTGGCGCCCGAGTTGAGGGCATTGATGATCATCTTGCGCTCCACGGGGCCAGTGATCTCCACCCGGCGATCCGCGATCACGGCCGGCGTCTTGGAGCAGCTCCAATCGCCCTCGCGGAGCTCCCGCGTGGCTGGATCGAACCCTGGCAGCTCGCCGCTATCGTAGCGCGCTTGCTCCTCCCGCCGGCATCCCAGGTTGAATTTCACGCGCGGGCGAAACTCGCGCTCCAAATCCGCCACGAACTGGAGCGCCTCGCGGCTGAGGATCCGGTTGAGGGAGGGCTCCGAGAGAGGCCCGCGGATCCGGATGCCCGCTGGCGCGTCCAGCGGAAGCGATTTGGAAGAGTAGCCATTCTCCATGCTGTGACGAATTGATCGATCACCGATCGCTAGAAACCCTAGGATAGATGTTTATCGATATGTACCGAAAATGGCCTAGTTTGGGAGAAGATACGAAGAGATACGTAGGAGGAGTGTGGACGAGCAGCGCATTATTGACATGAAATCTATACTCGGAAAGATCCGAGGTCAGAGCCTATCTTTCTAAACAGGGAAGATGTACACTTGGCAATGGCGGCCAAGTTAATCCCTACCGCTCATTTCAAAATTCCCTTGGTCAACAAATGTCAACGATCAACGGCTACCGGCGAAGAAGGTTTGAGACCGTCACATACGAGGCGGCATCCTGGCCGTCAACCCCAAGTGCCCACCCCGCGACGCGGGCGCCGCGCGTCGCGTCGCCGTGTGTCTTGCAAGCGCCCAGCAGTACCGCCCAGGAGCTGGACAGGTCCGCCGCTGGGAGGCTCTGGATGAAGCTCTCGGCGCTGTCCAGCCATCCCGCGCGGCCCAGGAGATCCACCACGCACCCAATGTGCTCCGCCTCGGCTTGGATCCCATAGTCGCGCCGGAACGCCACGAAGTAGTGGTAGCCGAGCTCCACCTCCCCGACGTGGCTGCATGCCGCCAGCACGCTGACGAACGTGGCAGCACTAGGCGGTACGCCGTCAAGCTCCATCTCGCTGTACAGCGCCAGCGATTCCAGACTGTGTCCGTGCCGCGCCAGTGCCTCGATCATACAGTTCCACGACACCAGGTTCCTCCTGTGGCCCATGCCGTCGAATACCGCGCGGGCCTCGGCAATGCTGCCGCACGACGCGTACATGGCCATGACCGTGTTGGCGACGAAAGGATCCGAGTCGAGCCCCGCGGACGTGGCCCGCGCGTGGAGCGATCGCCCGTGAGCGATCCCGAGCTGGGACGCGGCCTCGATCGCCGCCACGAATGTATACTCGTTGGGACGAACGCCCTCGAGCTCCATCCGGCGGAGCGCCGCCACAGCGTCGCTGGATCGCCCGTCCGCGGCCAGGGCCGAGACGAGCGCCGTCCACGGCACGACGCCCTTCTCCCGGATCTCGGAAAAGACGCGCCGCGCGTCATCTGTGCGGCCACACTTGGCGTAAAGCCCGAGCAGCGCGGTAAGCAGCGGGTCGTCTAGCGTGACGCCGGAGGATAGCAGCGCGGCATGGATTCGCACGGCTAGATCCGGCGGCACACCGCCAGCGGCACAGGCACTAATGATGCTCGTGAAGGTAGAGCCGTCGGGCCTGGCGGCGCCGTCCAGATTCATTGCCCAGAAGAAGCCAAGCGCTTCGTGGATCGCTCCCGCCTGGCTGCTCGCCGCGATCATCACGTTCCACATCACGGCATTCCTCTCGGGCAGTGAATGGAAGATCTCGCGCGCGCGATCGAGCTCGCCCAGCTTGCCATACATGTTGAGCAGCGCGGCGGCGACGATGGGGCTGGATCCATGGCCACTGGCTGCGACGGCGGCGGCGAGGCTGGCGATCCTCTGCGCCACCACGGCGCGGTACCGCGGTGGTGGCGATCGCGGCGAGCTCGCGCACGCGTCCAGCGCGCTCACAAAGGTGACGCGGTCGGGCTTGAGACCCTCGAGCACCATTCTCTCGTACAGCTCCATCGCAGGACCAAAATGCCCGTTCTGGGCATTTGCAGTGATGACTGCGGTCCAGCAAATGCTGTTCTTGATCGGCATCTTTGCGAAGGCGTTTTTAGCTCGATCGACGCTACCACACTTCCCATATGCATTCACTAGCGCAGTTCCAACGACGATCTCCAGATCCAGCCCCAGCGACGCGATTCTCGCGTGAAGCGCAATTACCGCGTCGAGGCATCGCAGCTCCGAGCACGCGACGAGGACGCTCACGAACGTAGCGGCGTTGGGCGCTACGCCGGACTGATCCATGAAGCGCAGGAGATGGAGGGCCTCCCAGCGGCGATCCACGCTCTCGGAGAAGGCGGCGATGAGGATCGTCCAGGAGAAGACGTTCTTGTCCGCGATGGCGTCGAAGATCTTCCTGGACTCGTCGGGGCGGCCGCATTTGCCATACATATCGGCCAGGCAATTGGCCAGGAACCGGTCCTGGCTCAATCCGTGGAACTTGCGGATGTGATCGTGGATGCGCTGCCCCTGCTCGAGCGCGCGATCGTCGGCGCAGCGCCGCAGCACCGCCGCGTACGTTGACGGCGCCGCCTGGCTCTTGGCGCGCTCCATCTCGTCCAAGACGCCAGAGATGCGCGCCATGGCACAGTCCTCGTCCAGGAGGCCAAGCATGGCATCAGTTCTAGAGAGTTTCCACGTCTTCTCGATTGAGAGGAAGCTAGCTAGAACAAAATCCCAAAGATCATACCATCTATCCCATGGCGGCTTTCAGCGCGTCCCCAGCGCCTTGGAAGAAGCACCACGAGAGGATGAAATCGGCGATGAAGATGCAAACCAGCGAGATCACCACCGCGGAGGTCGTGCTCTCTCCAACACCTTTAGCGCCACCCAGAGTCTGCAAAGAACACGCCAAGAACACGCTTTAGAACGATCAAAGCTCTCAAAGCTTACTTACCGTCACTCCCCAGGCGCAGCTCACGATCGAAATGATCCCTCCAAACACGAACGACTTGATCATGGTGCTCACGATGTCCCACGGCTGCAAGGCTCTCGCGGCGGAGTCGAGGATGATGTTGGCGCTCACCCGGTACACCGAGTCGGCCAGGAGCACGCTCGCCGCCATCCCCACCGAGAAACACATGAGCGTGAGGAACGGCATCGCTAGGCAGCACGCCAAGACCCTGGGAGTGATGAGGTAGTCCACCGGATCAGTCCCAAGAACACGCAGAGTATCGGTTTGCTCGGATACTTGCATCGTCCCAAGCTCCGCCGCGAAGGCGCTGCCCACCCGGCCCGCGAGGATCACCGCCGTCACCACCGGGGAGAGCTCCCGCGCCAGCGCCAGTGCGAGGACGCCACCCACGGATCGCGTGAGGCCGAGCTTGGCGAACTCGCGGACGAACTGGATCGTGAAGACCATCCCCACGAAGGAGGCGGTGAGGAGATTGACGCCCAGGGAGCCCGGGCCGACGGCCTCCAGCTGCTGGACGGTGTTCCGGACGTGGATTCTTCCCTGGAGAGTGCGCAGGATCACCTGGCCGCCGATGACGAGTGTGGCGAGCGCGCGCCATAGGTAGCGCGGCGGCTTCCATCCCGCGAGCACGGGGCTAGAATCGGCCTCTACTGCTGCTGCGGCGGCTGTGGCTGCGGCGGCGGACGATAGAGGCGCGCCATCGGTGCTGTGTTGCTGAAACCCTGCCCGGCATTTTTGGAGGCTGGCTAGCTTCTTCCGCGGCGGTCGAGGAGCGCCGCGATCTGCTGGGAAGAAGTGGCGGCGATGGAGCAATGACAGACCTGGCGGAATCTTTGCACGGAGGAGCGCCCTCGCCACATCTGCCATGCATTAGGGTTCTTGGCCATTGAGCCAGAGAAATTTGCCATTTTAGCACATCCAAACTTTTCCATCTTAAATAACTTTTAATATTATAATAATAAAAGTATAAATACATTTCCTTCTCTGTAATAAAAGAATTAAGTGGTAAATTATTTATTTCCTGAAAATAATTTATTGCACATTACATGTAACAACATTTTGCTTGTTTAATAGTAATATTTAATTCAATTGATTAATTAAAAATTTATAATATTATAAGTTAAAAACATAATTTTATTTTTATTATATAAAAACTTAGATGTGTGAGGGCCAAATGTACGGCTATGATGCCGTATACTAATATTAGCATAGTGGGATTTTGGTAGCTGTCGGATTGGTTTCAATCTGGATCACTCACTCTTGTATATAAGCTAAGGTTTTTGGGCTAATTGATATGCGCATTTCTGTATTCCTTTTCCATATTCCATATGGTGGAGGTGAGGGGCATTTTTGATTGTCCCTGGGGAGTGCTTGGATTTGGGATTTTGGTTTAGATCTAGCTTTTGCATTGTCTAGATCTAGCTTTTTCCATTTCCTTTATTTTGTTCTTTCCTTTCAGGATTTTGGTTTAGATTTAGCTTCTTGCATTGTCTAGATTTACCATTTCTTTCCAGCTTTTTGTCATTTTTCTTCTTTTGCTCTTTCTTTTTCATTCATCTTCATGGCCGATCCGCAATCTCCTCCTTTGACTCTAGAGCAGCAGTTGGTTCAATTGCTTGATGCTATGCGCTTGCAATTGAACAACCAAACTCAGTTGATGGCGGCGTTCACGGCACATGGTACAACTCCTCCTGCTTTTGGTGCCAATCCTCGCATTCGGCTGGAGTTCTTTCGTGGGAATCTTAGGGATGATATGTACCATTGGTTCGATCACTTCACGATGATTGCTACATATCATTCTTGGGATGATGCTCGACGTTTGCGTGAGTTCCCCACATGTCTCCAAGGGATGGCATTGCAGTGGTACAATGGATTGAGCGCAGCCACTCGTGGTGATTGGAGTGCTCTTCCGGACGTCTTCAAACATGCCTTCGGACACGCCGACAATTGTGATGATGCCTTCCAACAATTGCATCGTCTTCGCCAAGGGCCATCTGAGTCGGTGATGCAATTTGGCGTTCGTTTCCGAAGTCTTTTGCTTCGTGCGGAGCCAAATATGTCGGAGCGGATCAAGTTAGGAATGTTGTGGCCAACACTTCGTCAAGATTTTGTCGGACTTGTGCATGCACTTGCTTCTGCCACTCTTGACGATGCTCTTCGCTTGGCACAACGTTATGAGACGTCACCTCTTCCACTTCTTGTTACACGTCCTTCAACTCCAGTTCCTATGAGTGATGGTCCTGTTCCCATGGAGGTTGATGCTGCTGCTACTCGAGTCTAAGGACAAGGGCAAGGACGTGGTCGTGGCCGTGATGTTCGTTGCTGGGCGTGTGATGAAGTTGGTCATACTTATCGGCGTTGTCGGCGCTTTCCGGATTGGCAACCTCCATTTCCTAGGTGGAGACCTTGGCGTCAGCAACGTCCTATTGGTGCTGCTGCGGTGGAAGGTTTGGATATCGAGGTGCATTCGGGAAACGAGGAGTCGCGCAAGTAATGGAGGGGCCTTGCGCGAATAAGTTAGTGACCCCTCCATCTTTCTTTCGGGAGTATCATCAAGGGGTTCACTCGGCACTGGTTCATCCAGTGTTTACTTTCCAAGCTCGTTTTTATAACAAGAGGTCTCCTATTCTTCTCTCCGTGTTGGTTGATACAGGTTCGAGTTTATCTTCTATTGCTCGACCTGTTGCCACACGTTGTCGTCTACACTTGCGTCGTGCGGCGGATCCAGTTTTCATTCTTTATGGCAACGGCCGTACACATGCATGTGCACGAGATGAGGCGGACCTGGTTGTGCGTGTGGGTGATCTCGAGCTTGAGTTGCAATCATTGCGGGTGGTGCCGAGTCAAGCTTTTGACCTCATTCTTGGTATGGATTGGTTGCAGCGCAATCATGCCAAATGTGACTTTGAGGCTTCTCCCCCTTGTCTCATACTTCCTTATGTTTCATCCATTCCTCTCACTTCCGTACCTCTTCGTCCCTCTACTTCTACCTCTGCTTCCATTACTTTTGTTCCCCCACTGTTTCCTCTTGTGTTTCCATCTTGTTCTTCTCTTCCCTTTTCCGATCCCTCCGATGATCTTTGTGTTGCAGCTGTTGACCAGCTCATGAAGGAGTATTCTGATCTCTTTGAATTTGACCTATTGTCTGGGGCCAAGATTGCCACACATCATCCCATTCCAACTGGGGATGCTCGTCCAATCAAGGTTCCTGTTCGTCGTCGGTCACCCAAGGAGATCAAGATTTTACGTGCAAACGTCAAGGAGATGTTGGAGAAGGGTGTTATTCGGAAGTCGCGGAGTCCTTGGGCATCTGAACCTCATCTTGTGACAAAGCCTGATGGGAGTATTCGTTTCTATATCGACTATTATCCGTTAAATGAAGTGACGATCCCGGACGTGTACCCTCTTCCTCACACTGCTGATCTCTTGGATCATCTGGGGCGAAGTCGTTGGTTCACCAAGCTAGATCTTGCTTCTGGGTATTGGCAAGTACTGATGGCCAAAGAAGATATTCTTAAGACTGCTTTTCATACACCATTTGGTTTGTACGAGTTCTTGGTGATGCCGTTTGGTTTGAACAATGCTCCAGCAACTTTTCAGCGGATGATGGACGAGGTTCTTTGCGATATGCCGGAGGTGACGGCTGACTTCATTGATGATGTCTTGATCCACTCAGAGGGGACGTGGGAGGAGCACGTTCGTGATGTTTGTAAAGTGTTGGATCGGCTACGCGATGTTGGTTTAAAGCTGAAGCGGTCAAAGTGCGTGTTTGGGTCTAAGGACACAACTTATCTTGGGTACCGTATTTCTCGTGAGGGTTTGCAAGTTGATCCTGACAAACTTGTGGCTGTTCTAAAGTTCCCTACTCTGAAGTGTGTGAATGATGTGCAGCACTTTTTGGGTAAGGTGCAGTATCTCGGTCGTTTTGTGGATCATCTTTCCGATCGCACTACATCATTGCGAGCGTTGCTGAAGTCATCAACGTCATCTTTCATCTGGTCTCCAGATTGTGAGCGGGCGTTCGTGAATCTCAAAGAGCTATTGACGACTCCTCCGGTTTTGGCATATCCTGACTACACTCGACATTTTATTTTGCGCGTGGATGCTTCTGACATTGGTCTTGGAGGTGTGTTGATGCAAGAGAGCTCAAGTGTGCCTGGTCAGCGCCATCCCATTGATACATAAGCCGTACATTACAACCAGTGGAGATGAACTACTCCACGACGGAGAAGGAGTGTTTAGCAGTAGTCTGAGGTTTCGAGAAACTTCATGCATATCTACATGGTTCTCGGACGTTACTTGAAGGTGACCATGCTGCTGTTACTTCATTATTGAAGCGGAAGAACCTGGTTGGTCGTACGGCTCGATGGGCTTTGAAGCTTCAGATATATGATTTCGATGTTGTTCATCGCCCAGGGAGTTCTATGGCTGATGCTGATGCCCTTTCTTGAGCTCCTCTTCCTTCTCCACTCACTTCTCATGTTTCTGACAAACTTGTTATTCCAGCATTTGTGGATTTTCTAGATGAGGATTCTGTGCCGTCGGTGGTTGCTGTCCTTGACGTTCAGTGTCCACAGGGCGCAGAGCAAGATCTACCTTCTCTGGATGAGGTTCGCGAGGCTCAAAAGATTGAGCCGTGGATTCAAAGGCTTCGAGATGGGTTTGAGAATACTGCATCACTTGCTGATGACTTGCCTTTCCGGCATTTACATTCTCAATATCGCCTTGAAGATGGCCTTCTTTATTTTGTGGGGACGGATCCTGATGATCATTTACGGCTGGTGGTGCCTTCGGTGTTTATTCCGCAGTTTCTCCATGCCTACCATGATTCTCCTGTTCTAGGTGGGCATATGGGACACCGTCATGTCATCGAGAAGCTGCGTAGATCTTTCTATTGGCCAGAGATGCGACGTGATATTATCCGGTATGTGCGTAGCTGCGTTTGGTGCCAAGCTCGTAATACTCCCCCTTGTGTTGCGGAAGGACGGTTGGAGTCAATTGCAGTTTCTCGTCCGTTTGAGTTGGTGGCGTTTGATCTTATAGGACCTTTTCCACGATTGACTGCTGGCAATGAGTATATTATTATTGTTTCTGACTACTTGACTCGTTGGGTGGAAGTTGGTGCTCTTGCTAGTGCCTCTGCAACTGCTGTTGGATACTTCCTCCTCAATCGAGTGGTGTTCCAGCATTCTTGTCCAGAGCGGATTCTTTCGGATAATGGTCCTGCATTTATGGCTGAGGTATTTCATGTTTTGACATCTCGGTTGGGGATACGCCACACTTTTACGAGTGCTTATCATCCACAATCAGACGGTCTGGTGGAACGGCTCGTTCGGACATTCAAAGGGATGATTGCGAAGTATGTGAACTTTCAGCATTCGGATTGGGATGGTTATTTGCCGTCTCTTCGGTATGCCTATGTCACAGAGGTGCAGAGTTCTGTTGGTGCTTCACCATATAAACTTCTATATGGTCATGATCCAATATTACCAACAGAGTTGGGTTTACCTTCGCGATTGCCACGAGCTCCTGATGCTAGGTCATGGGATCAATATTTGACAAGCATTCTTCCACTTATCCGAGTAGAGTTTGCTGAACACTTAGGTTGCGTACAAGTGGGACAACAATGGCGCTATAATTCCCATCATCATCCACCTGCATAGTACAAAGTGGATGATTTGGTGTTAGTCCGTTTTCCCCATCTTACAGTATGTGGTTTATCTAAGGGGCTCCTTGCGCAGTGGAAAGGACCGTATCGGGTGTTGCGGCAAGTTAGACCACAAGTTTATGAGGTTCGGCATGACGTTCAGCAGGCCGATCCTCCGGAGATTGTGCATGTGCAGCGGTTAAAACGCTTCATACAAAGGGATCAGGAGCAGTTAATACCATCTACAGATCCACTGATGCCTCCCCCTGACATTCCTCCAGATCCCGGCCCATTTACAAGAGAACCCTGACGGCCTTCCATTATTCCGAGAGGAGGGGATGTTGTGAGGGCGAAGTGTACGGCTACGATGCCGTATACTAATATTAGCGTAGTGGGATTTTGGATTGGTTTCAATCCGGACCACTCACTCCGGTATATAAGCTAAGGTTTTTGGGCTAATTGATATGCACATTTCTGTATTCCCTTTCCATATTCCATGCACTCACAGATGATAGCATAAACTAGAGTATACTAAGAAATGTTTAGAAAAATAATTATAAATATATTTTTAACAAAATTAATTTTAATGAATAACAACCTTTAGTAGAATATTTTCTCTAATTAAAAAATAAGAAATTCAAAAAAACTTATTTAACTATCATAAGTAAATAACTAATTTTACTTTCCAAGATTTATTTACTTATTTATAATTACTATGCATTATGTACCATTGTACTTAAACAAATAAAATATTTAGAATATTGCAAAGAAACATTTATTAACATGGCATAAATATTTTTTCCAAAACTAATCTTTCTAAATTAATAATAAATGTAAACTCTTTAAAACCCTAAAGTGCAGAAGAAAAAAAAAGAAATATACAATAGTAGTTCTACACATTGGTGCAATTATTTAATATTAAAACATATAACATTATTTTTACATTTTATCAACACTATTTCAAAATCCCAAAACACATATACAATACTCCAACTTTTTCACAAAATCAAAACCCCACAAACTCAAAATATCTAAACAAATAACAAATATTAAAGTTATACTTAAACTTCATTAATTTTATTTACTGAATTTAAAATTTTATATAAGATTAAAGAAAAATAATTAAAGATTTATAATACATATCCTTTTTATCACTATGAATACTAAATTCCAGAAAAGCTCTTATTCAAAGAATAATAAATTGTAAATCCTATAACCTTAAAAAATACTTTTATTTTTTTCATAACATAGATACTATCAAATTTTGGATAACTAATGGCTGATGGAGTGAGAATTGTCTATGTTCAAGACATCGATTGAGCAGCGTTCTATTTTGGTAGTGCCATTAAAATAGCAAAATCATTCAGGGTAGGGTTGCCGTTTGCAAAAGTGGTGAAAAACCCTTTATTCCTAAGTTGTATGACGATTATGGAATTGTGCAAATTAAACCCATCATACAAACTTGTCTAATTAATTGATAATATTAATTCATTTAAAACACAATGACAAAAAAAAAAAAAAAAGTAAATTGAGCTAAAAAACAAATCCCATCAACTTATTTAAGCTTTCCTGCAGTTATCCAATATGCATCTAGCTCGCCTCAAGAACAAAGTTCATGAACTACCATAAACAAACAAAGAATACATAGGAGGAGGATCCAACAGCAAGATAGTTGCTAAGGCTACAGTGGCAAAGCAGGCAATGGTGCCCTTCAACAACATCAAGGGCAAGGTGAGGGGTTAAATTGCATAGCCAGGATTGTGACCCTACGCCATGTTACAGTGGAGCTCTTTTTTGGTTTTTCTGATTGTGTTATCCAGGGAAGTTTGTAGCAAGATTTCCATACAAGTCACTGGTCACTTATCTCCTAGTAAACCTCTGGGCTATGCGGACGAAGTGAACAGAGATATTCTTGGGCAACTGCAAATTCTACTGGAAGAAAGGGAGGCAAGATCCTTTCAAGGCAGTCCACTTTTGCCGATGGGGTGGGGGACTTGATTGTCTAAGAGGCCATGCAAATGGCTTTAGAGAAGATTCGTGAGCCCTTACTCTCTCCGAAAGCTCTTGGGTATTATCCCAACAGAGGGTGTTATACATTGTTGGAGAATGTAAGGAGTAATTGGTGTGAGTCCAAAAAGGCTGGAGAAATGCTAGGAGAGCAAGTTCTGGAATGTCAAGTTTGGGATAATAGAATATATTGGGAGGTGTTTAGGTATGTTTATAAATTATAAACATAAATGAAATGCTAGATAATAAAATATTCAAGCATATTTTAGATATATTCACCCTAACTGATTAAGACATTGGAAAGTCTTTAAAAATAATTTCAAAATAAGCTTTTTGGACATATGAAAACAGAAAGCTTTACAAACTTGATTTCTCGAGCAGGCAGTAAAAATTTACAAACCAAAGGCAATCCTTTGTATTGTCGGGTCAAATCCGTCCAACCTGCAAGGACGCTGCTACTTCTTTCCTCAGTTCCTCCATGTCCCTGGCCAGCTCCACATGATCCTGCTCGAGCATCAGCTGCTCCAGCGTCCGCCGGAGCTTTTCCAGCGCCACATCCAACCCCGACACGCCCTTGAGCGTCTTGTGCGTGCTCCCGACGCGAGCCAGGCTCTTGAGAGCCATGAGTGCCTGCATACCAAAAGTTCACGCAAGTTAAAACTCACAAAAACTTCGAGAGGCTTTCTTGCCTTTTCTTGAGTGTCCAAGTCGGACGAACCGAGTATCTGGACAACAGATTCCACTAGCTCGTCCTCGGGAACGTAGCTTGATAAACCTCCTCCAGCTTCCGCAAGCTGCTCGGCTAAGTCGGCCACCAAAAACAGAGCCTTCTTCATGAGTCTCTGGCTCGTGCTAGAGCTGCTTAACAGTTCCTGCTCGACAGGATCAAGAAGATTAACAGAGATTGGAGCGAGAAATCAAGTTTCCACGACGCTTACCTGCAAGAGTCTCGCGCCACCTTGCTCGTAAAACGCTTCGTGGCCAGCGGGATAGTTCCTGATCACAGCGGAAACGGCATACAGAGCCTTCACGGCCTCCTCCTCGGAAGTAGCCGTAACCATCTTCATCAAAGCTGGAAGTGTTTCCATTTGTAAAATCTGCAATGATAAAGACATGAAGAAGTTCATGTAGCCGCCGCTTTCCATCGGACAAGGTTTTTTACCTGACTTTGGACGAGACGATTGTTCTGACTGGCCTTTCCCAGCACCCACGCTGCGGCTACCCGGATGTCCTCTTCGGGGCTCTGGAGCACATCGATCACAGCTTCCAGGCCACCCAGCTTGTTTAAATCTGAGAGAAAGAGATTTTTCAGTGAAAGTTCCAAAACAGGGAAAACAAAAACAGGTACCATTTGCGTTGTCAATCGGCTCAACGAGCTCCAGTAGCTCGTCCAAAGCACGCTTGTGCTCGTCAACCGAGAGAGAAGAATTCTTAAGATCCTTGATCGCTATTCTCATCAAATCTGCATCAGATGGCATTTTCAATCTCTCCATCAGTTCCTAATAAGCACAGAAACAAACAAATCCATTATAAACAGCCAGTTCGTTTCTCCAGGTTTCTTTCCTTACCTTGATATCCGCTCGACGCTTTGCGAGTTCCTCGGGAGTAAGCCTCATGGTTTCCCTGGCAGAGTCCTTTAGTTTCTCTGGATCAGAGTGTCCTGCGAAGAACACGAATCTTATACCATCCAACCCAGCAAGCATTGTTTGATACCTATGGCCCATTGGAGAAGGCTATCTAGCGTTGGAAACCCGACCTCGGTATCCTCCAACAGCGAGACCTGCGCCTTGGTTTCCAGATCCTTCTCGTCGATTCCAGTCACCCACGCAAAGCCTCCCCGGCTCGAATTCAGCTTCGCGTCCAGCCCAGCTATCCTAGAGAGCACAGTGGGCGGCGCCGCTGCCGCTGCCGCCGCGCAGGCCAGGGAGAAGAAACACACCAGCGCCATCGGCATCGCCATTCTCGCCATTCCCCTTCCCTATCGCAAGCCCTAAAATTTGCCACCACGTCGGACGTGGCATGCCAGTGAAAAGTTACCACGTGTAACCAGTGTTTTAATTCAAAATCTCGCGCCACCGTGTGTTTAAATCTGGCTTACGTATAGAGATGTAGGCCCGGGAATGGCAAGACCGAGTGGTCTTATCGATGGGGAGCCACAAAATCAACTAGATCTTCAAGATTGTCCCTCCCGCAAGGCATCTGTCTTTGTTGCTTGTAGCGCTGAATTTGAGCTTGAGCGAGTACAGTGACTCATGCCGATTCATTACTCTGAGTAGTGTCCACGACAATGCTTTGCGTTCCTTGAGTGTACTCGCGGCGAGAAAGCTCTCGTCTCGCCATCTCACAGAGAATGGCTTTCGTACTCCATCATGGAGCAGCCGGATTTCTCTCTCCAGTGAGCAAAACGCGAGCAGCAGCGCAAAGCCACCACCCTGGAATCAGAGCAACAGCAGTCAGGGAGCAGCCACTGGAAGAAGAAAAAGAACTGAAAAGCTTACTTAGTTTAAGCTCCTCCTCCATCGCCACCACCACCACCACCAACACCACCGCCACCACCAGCGCCAGAAAGCAATACACGGGCATAGCAGGACGGCTCTGCGACGCCGCCGAGAGCTTCATTGCAAACTTCATCGAGCCGCGAGTGGTGCGTCCGCCGCGATCGGACCCAAAGATCCAGCTCGCCGACAACTTTGCGCCGGTTCCCTGCGAAGTCCCTCCGCAGCCGTGCACCCTGGTTCGAGGAGAGATCCCGGAGTGCCTGAAAGGAGGCATCTACATCCGGAACGGTGCCAATCCGCTCTTCAAGCCGGTGGGAGGATACCACTACTTCGACGGCCATGGAATGCTTCACGCTGTCAAGTTCGTTGGTGGAGTTCCATACTACTGTTGCCGCTACACCAAGACCAACAGGTACAAGCACGAAGCTTCCGCTGGCCGGTCCCTGTTCCCGAATCCGTTGGGAGATAGTCACGGAGTCCCAGGAATCGCTCGCATCACACTCTTCGCCATGAGAGTCGCGCTGGGAATCGTCGATGCCACTGGAGGAATCGGGACTGCGAACGCTGGGCTTGTCTTCCACAATGGAACTCTTCTCGCCATGTCCGAGGACGACATGCCTTATGCTGTTCGTATCTGCGAGAGTGGCGACCTCGAGACCGTCGGAAGGTTCGGTTTTGATGGCGAGAACCAGCTCAACTCGCCAATGACAGCTCATCCCAAGCTGGATCCACGGACTGGAGAGCTGCTCTGTTACAGCTACAGCGTCGCCACGAAGCCGTATCTCAAGTACTTCAAAGTGTCTGCTCGAGGAGTGAAGTCCAAGGACGTTCCAATTCCCCTGTCCGAGCCGGTTATGATGCACGACTTCGTGGCGACCGAGAACTTCGTCGTCTTCCCGGAGACGCAGATAGTTTTCCGGTTCCAAGATCTCTTCCTGAAGAGAACCTCTGCCGTTGTGTGCGACGAGAACAAAGTCCCACGATTTGGTGTTCTTCCCAGGAACGCCGAGGATGTGTCCGGCTTGAAATGGTTCGACGTCCCTGGCTTCACGAGTTTGCATTTTGTGACCGGCTGGGAGGAGGACGGCGGAGAAAAGATCGTGCTGATCGCTGCAAAGACATGGCCGCTCAGGAACATGTTTGATGATCCGGCTTCCGTTCATAACACTGTCTGTGAAGTCCATCTAGATATGAAGACGAGCCTGGCTACCGTAACACGAGTCACTGCTGCAGTTCTCGAGATCGGCCAAGTCGATCACCGGATGATCACCAGAAAGACGAGGTATGCTTATTATTCGATTTATGGTCCATGGCCGAAGTTCTCTGGAGTTGCAAAGCTCGATCTGAATGCTCCCAGATGTTCCAACGTGACGACCATCTCTGAAGAAGCTCTCGAGTATGACCCCGCTGTGGTTGCATGGAGAAAATTTGGAACGGGACGTTTTGGCAGTGAGCCATTTTTCGTTCCCAGGAACGACGATGCCGAGGAAGATGACGGCTTTCTGCTTTGCTACGTCCACGATGAAATAACTGGCGTCTCCGAACTGCTTATTATGGATGCGAGCTCTCCCAAGCTAGACACAGTAGCGTCCATCGAGCTCCCTTCGAGAGTACCATACGGTTTCCATGGGCTGTTCGTGAACAAGGAAAAGTTAGCTCAGCAGAAGCCTGTATAACAAGTAGCTACCAAACTAATGTGTGTAGGTCCATATCACGTCAATGTCCAGCGTTTGACACCGCAGCCAGTGGATTTATTTGCAATCCGAAAGCAAGGTCCCAAAAGTCTTTTAGTCCAGTGAGAGCGCCTCGCAACACGTTGCTCATGGCCCTACAAAATCAAGCACTTGAATCTAGAGTAGATAACCATAAGCTCAAACCTCCGGATAAGGTGGCGTTTCTTGATCAACGCATACACCATAATAATCGTTGCAAGGCTCTTTCCTATTGCAGAGAACTGGAATGATATTCGAGCCAATGCTTGGATCCAAAATATGCGAAGCACTTCAACCAGGAGCTTTACCCAGTAAGCAAAGCTTATACGTAGCGATGTCGATTGGAGAGCTCTCGTTTTCTTTGTAGGTGCAGATTCTTTGTCACCAAGAAAGCCGGCTCCCTGTTCTTCTTCTTCTAATTCTTTTTTTTTCATTGGCGTAGGGACGGTACGATCAAGAAGCTTTTCCAACAGTTCCTATCAAACAAACAACTCGTGAAAAATGCAATGAATATTTCTGAAAGGACGACCACTTACTTGCCTTCTCCTTTTCGGCAGGTTGAGTTTCTCCGTCCAGCTGAGGGCCAACTTGGGGTCCTTGAGACGTAATAGGTGCACAGAAAAGATTTCTGATAAGTCGGCATAAATATCCCCCGGCAAGAGCATAGTGCACTCTTTGACAGTTTTAGTGTAAAAGCCACTTTGTTGGGCATCCCTGGACCAGCCATCGAGGTAGCACTGAAGAGCTAGATGAGCAGGATAATGGAGCTGAGATGAGACTTGTAGACAAATTCTACAGAGCTGTCGTTTAGAAAAAAAAATATGACAAAAAAGAAGGACTCACGCTGGAAGAACCAAGTAGTGCGGTATAAACTCCAGACTCTCGAAATGATCTTCCAAGATGCTAAATAACGATCCAAGCCTGCAAAGAAGTTTAGACCGTTTAAAACTAGCGCTATTTGTTACCTCCCCATTTCGCTGGTCGCTTGGACAAGCACCATTCCAGCAGCTTCAACAAGGTCTCTAAGGCCTTGATCGTTAACAGCGTAGAGAAGCCGTCGAGTGTCTGAGGATTTTAGCCGCAGCTTGTCAAGAACCTCGGACGCCTTGGACAAAGAACGGGCATACATCGCGCTAACGAGGAATCTAGAGCACGAAAATAAGATCAATCCGCAGAGGGTGGAGTGGAAATTTACCTCTCAGCGAGGACAATATCGTCCCACAGCGCATCCCCTTCCTCGCCCTGCATTGTGATAAACCCTAAAAACAGAGCCCTAATATTTGATCTCGATAGATTTCTCACGTCTTTCACAGCATCGCGTTGGAAAGAAGAGGAATGGTGGCCAGGGAAGAACACGACGATCTCGCGCGACGGCGAGCGCGATCGACGTCTCTGTGCGTGCGGCTGCTGCTAAGAAGTGCCCGGATCGCGGCGGCGTCCGGAGAGAACGGCATTGCTCGCAGCAGCTCTTCCGCCTGCTCGAGCCTTCCCATCCGGCCCAGGAGGTCGATCGCGCAGGAGATGTGCTCGATCCCCGGAGAGAGCCCGTGATCCAGGATCATCGATCCCAGAAATCCCTGGCACCGATCGACGAGGCCCAGATGCGCGCAAGCGGCAAGAACATTGAGGCATGTCACGCCATTTGGATTCCACCCTTCCATCTGCATCAGCGCGTAGAGCTCGAGTGCTTGCTCGCCAGCGCTTGAGCGCGAGCACGCGAAGATCATTGCTGTCCAGCAGATGGTATCCAGCTCGGGCATCCGATCAAACGTAGATCGAGCTGCGCCCAGCTCTCCGGCCTGCGAGTAGATCTCGAGAATCGAGGTCCAGGCCACGATGTCTCGCTGTGGCATGGAATGGAAGACGATCGATGCCGCCGCTGGATCCCTGGAGCAAGCCCGGAGGAGAGACGTCCAAGAGACAATGTCCTTGACCGGCATCTTGCGAAAGACTGGCAATGCGCTATAAAGATCCCCGGCCTGGGCAAATGCTGTTAGGAGAGTGTTCCAAGCGACTAGATCCCACTCCGGCATGCTCTCAAAGAAAGCTTGGGCTTGATCGATGTGGCCGGATTGCGCGAACGCTTGGAGCATCGCGGTCGAGAGAAGGAGATTCCGGAATGGACTGGTGTCGAATGTGTTCTTCGCGCCTTCCAGATTGCCATTCCGGGCAAATGCCGCAAGGAGTGAAATCCACGAGACATCGGTCCACTGTCGCATGGAATCAAAGACGCGCTTGGCGCTGGCTGGATCAGCGGCTTGAGCGAAAGCCACGAGCATCACATTGCAAGAAACCGCGTCGTGCTGGGGCATCCTCTCAAAGACGTTCCTGGCCTGCGCTAGATGCCCTGATCTGGCGGCGTACGCCTGGAGGAAGATCGTCCAGGAGATCAAGCTGCGCTCCTGCATTGAATCGAAGACAGCCACCGCCGAATCGATCTGGCCCTCTTTCGTGAAGGCCTTGAGCATGATTGTCCAGGAGACGACATTCCACTCGGGCATGGCGTCGAGGAGAGATTCCATCCGGCGGAGCTGCTGCCCCTTCCTAGCATACGCATCCAGGAGCGCATTCCACGACACGATCGTCCACCCCGGCATCGCATCGAAGGCGTTCTTTGCGCCCGAGGCATTGCCGATCGAAGCGAAACTTGAGATGAGCGAATTCCAAGCCACAAAATCGTTGCCCTTGTTCTTGGCTTCATCGCTATGCCGCTCAAACCCAATGGCGGGAAATCTGAGCATATGAAGTCTTTTCCCTAGCAATTCACAATTGACATTTGCAACTACCAAAAGTAAAAAGGAAATACCAAGCACGATTAGCCTAAGAACCATAAAGTTTTTGTCTTTCATCCAATGCAGCGAATTAGGGATGGATATGGATTTATGGAAAGAAATGCTCTGCGATTTGTGGCAAATCCTCTCTGTACGATCATCAGCTCTATCCCAATTTCTCATAAACACTGTCCCAGAAAGCTAATTTCCTGGAGCTGACGGGGATAAGGCGTGATTGCTTTGGCTCACCATCATAGCGTGAGAGAAGACCCAGTGGTTACACAACCACTGGAAACCTTCTACTGCTAACTGGGCAAAAAGCAGCGAAAAAAGAAATGCTCACCACAGTGTTGGCATTCACAACCTCGGCAGTATGCTTTGTGTGTGGAGGTCGATCCCTGGTGATGGCAGCGATGCGCATGTAATCAAAATTGCAACACTCGAGAGAGAGGAGGGAGCTAGACCACGTGTTGTGATTTGGCCCTCACCTACAGCAAACAATAAACTTCTTCTATCCCAGCCATCCTCTCATTGGCCATGCAAACATTCACAAAAGTTTTCCCAAGAGCCTCCACTCCTCGTTCTACAGATAGAAAAAGCTTTCCAAATCTAAAATCTAAATTTTACTTGAAATTTACTTGCTTTATTGGAATTCAGATTTACCACTGGGAAAGAAACATTCATTTTAGTTTCAAGTATAAGCTGCTTTAGGATGAACCACACTTAGACTTTATTATGTTGACAACCTGGAAGTTTTTGGAGCCGTAGCGTCAACTCCAGTTTAGAGAATTTCTACTGATGGCCATGCAATCTACATTAAACAAAATGTTTTTCTACATCATGCTAGGGTTTTGTGAGCAGGTGGCATAGAGTCACGAGCTGCCAGCAGCATGGTCGATGGGTGAGCTACTTAGGTGGTGCGCAGGGCGATAGAGCTTAAGATATAGAAATATTTTAGGTAACAATCCTGTTAGATAAAAAAATTGCACAACTAAATATAATATTTAATTTAATCTAGTGATTAAATTTAGTTATGAGAGACATTTAATTTGTGCCTATATTATGCATATGCTGTGATTATAATAGATGCCAATAAGATTTGCAGACAAATAGCCACAACAATTGTCATTGCAGCATATTTAAACCCATGGGTCTTATGCTTCTTGGGGAGTGTTGCAAGAATTTGTAAAAAGTATATGAACTAGAAATTGCCCAACAAAAGTTGGCAGGTTGGCAAGGTGAAGCTTTTCTCTCCTCAATTGCCTTTTAATATTGCGCAACAAATGTTGGAAGAGTACAAAAATCAATAATTTTATACAATATTTTCTTTTGATATTTTTATATGTGTATATAATAGTATAGAGTATAGGGATTGTGCTTTTGAGTTCTCATATTATGTGGCATTATGATTTTTCTCGCTTATAACTCCATCTACAGTTTTGGTGATTGTCTTCAGGTAACTCAAGACCTATGCACTATTTCAAACACTAAAGGGAAAAATAAGAATTACTAAGTAAATATTATTGATAAAGATATTATATGAATATATTTAGAATACTAATATTTTAAGAAATTACTCAACCCAAAAAAATTAAAACTGAAACTGCTAAGATTATTTTTTTTATAGTTATAAGAATAAATATATTTAGTACACTTCCAAAAAAAAACAATAAAAGAAGAATTACTAAAAATAAATTTTATTAATTAGAAGTTATATAAGAAGTTGTGAATGCTTGGAATATAGGAATAAATATATTAATTGAGGTTTAAACCACTGCTTATATATAAAAATAGATGGACTAAATTCAGTCCTAAATAAACAATTCATATACTATAGTATTATAGGGTAATACATGTATATACATATATATATTCACAGATCTTACATTATCCTCCCCTTTGGAAAATGAAAAAGTGATGATAATAAATTAGGTGGAATATCTAAAGCTTTTGCTAGGTAATTACAAACTACCATAAAAATCTAAAGCTCCTACAAAACTACTAACAAAGTTGCTAATAATGATGACTCATTCCACAATCCATGTTATTCGTCATTGTTCCATTACTGTATTTGATCATCCTTACTCTATCATTGGGGCTGGACTCCCATCCATCCCCTCTATCCCCTCCTCCAAAGAAAAAAAGTTTAAAGTGTCAAGGTAAAAAGGAGAAAATTAAAAAAAATTAAAAACAATTGTGGAAAAAAAAAAGTGGATAAAGAAGCATCAAAAGTTTGCAGTAGCTTAAAATTCAAAAATGGAGAAATTAAAAAAAGGATATGTGCTCAAAGTTTGGAAAATAGAGAACTTTCTATCATAAAATACTTCAGCTACCACAATATAAGTAAAAAATTCACACCATTCAACCCCTTAATACATAATTCAACATTTGATATGGGAAAATTAATAACAATGTCTACACACTCAAGGAAATATATAAACTCCTCAACAACAATAGTAAAACAAATACTCTTAGTGGTACTCACTAGTGGGGACATGCATTCAATTTGAAACTTTTATAAAAGTGACTCAACCATTAGAATAGGGGAATACTCAACACTAAAATTGATCAAAGACTTTGCTATTGAAATAAAAACAAGATTTCAACTTTATGCACACACTTAATATTTAGATTAGTATGAGGAAGATAGAAAACACTCAACTCAACACTAGCCTAAGAATGAGAATTATTAGAGTCATAAATGATCAATATGCTAGAAGAAGAAAACATTACAAATGAAGAAATAATACTAAGAACATGAAAATGTGGCTTAGACTAAAAAATAAGAAAAGGTTGGGAAAGAACAAAAGGTAAAGAGAAAAGATCAAATGGTAGATTGAAGGATTGACACCTACTTTGCAAAATCTCTATTACATCTCTAAAGCTATTTCTATAATAATTAAATTTGTCAAAATGATTTAGAATTCATTTGAACTCATACACATCATCTTCCCATAAACTTGATTCTTGAACATTCTCCAAGAATCAAATTGCATCATCCATAGCTCTCCAATCGATGTTACAATCATGCTCCACATTAATGAGAGATGACAAACACCGAGAATAGGACAAACTATGTAATTATGTCCTATAGAAGTTAAAGATGGCAACACACCAAAGATAAGTACATCACTAATATGATCACACTTTACAACACTAAAAGTTTAATCTAATAAAGTAGTATTGGCAACCTTAAGTGATATACTCCTTAATTGATGACAGCATAGTATGGTAAAAAAAGAGAATGCAATGAAGATTAAAAGAAAGAGTAGATATAAGCACAATGATAGCTAAAACTCTAGATCTTGCAAAAGGCTAATACAAATCTAGATTTAAAAGAGATGAAGAAATAAAACCAAAAATTACAATGCTAAACACTAAAGCAAAGCACTGTCTAAAAGCTTTGCTCTTCAATGACAAATTGCAATGCCCCTCACCTCCACCAATATGATTGCTTAGGATAAAGGAATAAATATATTAATTAGGGTTTAAACTTGTACTTTAGATTCAGTCCCA